TTCGGTCCTTCTGCCTGCTCTGCTCCCCGCTCTGGCTCTGGTGAATTCTCTCACCCTACCGCGCTTCTGACTGTACCCAGTGCATGTATAAACAAAACAAACAAACCAGCAAACAAATAAATAAAGCATGCCTCTATTAAAAAAAAAAAAAAGAAAGAATAAAAAAATCACATGATTATGTCACTAAATGCAGAGGAAGTATTTGACAAGATATGGCACCTATTTATAATAAAAACTCTTAACAAAATGAATATGAAAGGAACATAACATAATAAAGGCCATGTATAACAAACCTACAGCCATCTCATCTCATACTTAACAGTGAAAAACTGAAACCTTTCCCTTTAAGATCAGCGACAAGGTGGGCCTCCCTGGTGATGCAGAAGATAAGATGCAACCTATGAAGCTATCTGCAGCCACTGCAGTACAAGTGCGATCCCCAGCAGGGGGCTACCCACATGGCTCAGCAGACCTCTCCTGTCTCGCTCGCTGCTCCCCTCAGTAGTGTATTTCAGTCAATCTGCCTGTTCTGTTCCCCACTCTGTCCCTGGTGAATCCTCTCACCTCCCACACCTCTGGCCTGTACCCCAGTTCTTGTATGCATAAATAAATAAATCTTTTTTTTAAAAAAAGATTAGGAACAAGGTAAGGATGCCCACTCTCACTCACCATTTCTGTTTAATTTAGAATTAGACATTTTAACTAGAACAATCATAAAAGAAAAATAAAAAGAATACTGATTGGAAAAGAAGTAAAACTATTATTGCTTTCATATGATATAATACAATACATAGAAAATCCTAAGACTCTACCAAAAAAAACAATAAATGAGTACAGTAAAGTAGCAGTCTACAAAGTTAACACACAAACATTTGTTGTGTTCTCAGATGCAAATAATGAGCAAGAAGAAACAATCCCATTTACAATGGCATCAAAAATAAAGAATAAAATAATAAACTTAGCAAGGAGATGAAGGATTTATACAATGAAGACTATAAGACACTATTAAAACATACAGAAACAGACTTAAAGAGTTGGTAAGATAGTCCATGTTTGGGAATGAAGAGAATTAACATAGTAAAAATGATGACATTTACCAAAAGTGGTATATAGATTTAATGTGTTCCCATTAAAATTACAATGATATTCTTCAAGAAGTTAGAACCAAAAAAGCACTAACACTTACATGTAGTCATAAAAGACCTGGAATAGCTAAAGCTATCCTGAAAAAAAAAAGGGGGGGGGCAGAAGGGTGATGGAGCCGTCATGTTACCTGAATTTTAACTATTTTTAAAAGCAACAGTAATTAAAACAATGTAGTTTCAAAATAAAAAAAAAGAAATGGATCAATGGGACAAAATAAAAGGCCCAGAAATAAATCCATGCATATATTGACACCTATTTATAGTAAAGCAGCCATGACCATACAATAGAGAGAGTCTCTTCAACAAATGATGTTGAGAAAACTGAATGGCTACATGTAGAAGTATGAAACTGGATCACTCTAACTCCAGGCACAAAAATAAATTCAAAATGAATTAAAGACATGGATATAAGTCTCAAATCCATAAAACATACATAGAAGAAAGCATAGATGATAAGTTCTATGATATCAATGACTAAAAATATCTTTGGAGACTCCTGTAGCAACAGAAAGTAAAATAAACAGAAAAGCAAAATAAACAATTGGGACTACATCAAATTTTACATGGTGAAAGAAAATACCAGATGAAAAAGATAGCCTACTGAATGGGAGAAGATATTTACACATCACACAAGCAACGAGGGGTTAACATCCCAAGCACCAACAGAACTCACCTAAGCAACAAAAAAGCAATAATCCAATTAAACGTTGGACAGAAGATTTGAATAGACATTTTTCCAAAGAGGATATACAGATGGCCAACAGACATATAAAAAACACTCATCATCAGTTCTATTAAGGGGTTTGCAAAGCAAAACCACAATGAGATATCTCATACCTGTGAAATTACTAAGTGCTGGAGAATATGTGGACAAAGAGGAACATTTATTCACTATTGGTAGGAATGCAAATTGGTGCAACCATCTTGGAAAATAGTCTGGATGCTTATTTTAAAAATAGAAATACCATACAATCCAGCAATCTCACTTCTGGGTATCTATCCAAAGAATACAAACCATCAATTCAAAAAATTATATACGCCACAAGTTTATTGTAGTGTATTTATAATAGCTAGCATATGGAAGCAATCTAAGTGCTGACAAAGGATTGGATAAAGATGTGGTACAGATACACAAAGGAATACTATTTAGCTACAAGGAAAGATGAAATGTTGCCATTTGCAGCAAAATGGAAGAAGCTTGAGAGGGTTATGTGAAGTTAGCAAGAAAGACAAAAACAAATATTGGATGATTTTGCATATATGGGTAACATATGAAGACACAGTGGATTCTGATAACCAAATTGAAATTATCTGAGGTTAAACAGGTTGGAGGGTGGGGAGGGAAAAAAAGTGAAAAGGATATAGGGATGTTTTTGTTGTTATCTTCAAAAGTAGAAAAAAAGGGGGGGCCTCCCTGGTGGTGCAGGGGTATAAGTCTCAGCTCTATCAAGCTATCCCTACTGCAGCATGAGTTCCATCCCAGACCAGGGAGCTACCCACATGGTACAGTAGACCTCTCCTATCTTGCCCGCTGCTCCCCTCAGCAGTGTATTTCAGTAGATCCGCCTGTTCTGCTCCCCACTCTGTCTCTGATGAATCCTCTCTGTCTCTCTGTCTCTCTCTCTCTCTCTGTCTCTCTCTCTCTCTCTCTCTCACACACACACACACGTGCACACGCATGCACCTCTGGCTACACCCCAGTTCTTGTACTCATAAATAAATAAAAATAAACCTTAAAAAAAGTAGAAAAAAGGGACCAATTTCAATTAAAATTTTGTTAGGCAGTGAAAAGAAACAAAATTTCTGCTGTTTAAAAAAGAAAAAACAAAATTAAAGGTGACAAATATGCTCACACACACTCACCACAGAATTCAAATAACTTTTTAAAAAAGTACAAATGGTCTCCTGCTTCTCTACCTGTGAGGAGATGTTCCCTGCATTCCCTACACCAGTTTTTAGTCTGAGGACATTTTGGGACAGGTAAATCTCAACACACCAGAACATCAGGCCTTGGAGGCCTTAAAGGGAACCTTCATACCCACATCAGTCCCCAGTTAGAGTCACATCTTGGTACCTCAGGGCCCTTTATGACCAACTAGAAGAAATATGAACAATCATGGCTCACAGCCTTGGGCAGAAGGAAAAGCACAAACTTCAGTCAGAAAGTCCTAGGCTTGAAAATGACTCAATCAATAAATATACATGAAGGAGTAAATGAGCAAATGAATGGTTGATGAATGGGTTTTTCATCCCATTCCAGCTCAGCCTTCTCATGCAAAAAGCCAGGGTCCCAGGGAGGCCTCTGTCTAATCTGACCTCCAACATGCTCCCAGCCTGGAAAAGAAGACAGAGCCTGACACAGAAACTCCCATTCCCATTATTGCTCAGAGCACTAAGAGAAAAAATCACAGCAGCTAGGACACAGGGAAGAGAGCCAAGAGGGAGGAAACAGGACAGAGGAAGGATGCTGGATCAAAAAAAGAGAGGAAGTGGATGTTAGAACATTAGCTTGCATGTGTCCAGTGACCGTTACACACTGACCAGGGAGGAAGTTGGGCTGAACAACCCAGATAATGAAAGGCAGCAGGAGGCTGACCCTGCTGCCAGACCTTTTCATTTTTGTCTTGATTTGCTTTTCACATCTCTGGAGATGGGAAGTTCATTCCTGAGGGAGATAGCCCAACACTTCCTGAGTCTAGGCAACTGTCAAAATGTTTTAGGGCCTCCCTGGTTGCGCAAAGGGTTAAGCACAGCACTATGAAGCTATCCGCAGCCTCTGCAGCACGAGTTCGATCCGGCCAGGGAGCTATCCATATGGCACAGCAGACCTCTCCTGTCTTGCCCACTGCTCCCCTGAGCAGTGTATTTCAGTCAATATACCTGTTCTGTTCCTCTCTCTGTCTCTGGTGAATCCTCTCACCCCCCCGCATCTCTGGCCTGTACCCCAGTTCTTGTATGCATAAATAAATAAATCTAAAAATAAATGTTTTACACAACCTGATTTTTTGAGTAGTGGCTCTCTTAGGTAAAAGGGTTGAATGAGATTGTTTGGGAAGGGAAGTGTACCCATATCCACCAGGCACTCAGACCCTGCCAGAGGATGGACCTCAAATCAGACCCTCAGGTGTTCAAATCTCTGTTATACTACTTACATGCCTGGTGACTTCATCTCTGCAAACTTCAGCTTCCTCTCCTTTGATCTGAAATGATCATGGTAACAGTACTTACCTATAGGTTTGGCCATGTATTCCGTAGGCTAATGGAATAGAATACCTGGCATATAGTATGTGCAGAAGTATGTCACCTTGCTCCAGGACCAGAGGGTTCCAGAATGTGTGACAAACACGTGTACTTATGTACCTCTAAACTTTTGCCTCACATGCTCTATCAAGCTATCAAGGTACCAACTACCTACATTTAGCAAACTCCTACAGAATCCTCAAAATCTTAGCTTAAGATACCTTTCTCTTCTCTGTTCAAGCCTTGACCTAGGCAGCTGGGATCATCTGGGCCTAGTTCTGATTTGGACCATTAGCATGAGAAGTGAGTTCCCTGGGGTCAAGGGTTCTGACTGGCATGAGGTAGGGAGAAGTCGAAGCTTGCTGAAAGCATGAATGAATGAATTGCATGAAAGGTCCTCTGGAGGCGGTCCTAAAGTGGAAACTCCAGAGTCCACCAAGCTCTTGGGCATCCGCATCCCCCAACTCGCCGGCCCTCCAGAGGCGGGGCCGGGGAGCTGGGGCGGGGGCAGGGTTTCCGGGCGGGGTCTTCGGCTCTTCCGGTTCGGCCCTCGGGGCGGGGCCGGCGGGGCGGGGCCGGCGGGGCGGGCGCTGGCGGCGTCAGGGCGGTGCGAAGATGGCGGCGGTGCCTGAGCCCGCGGCGGCCGGCCCCAGCGCGAGTGAGGCGCCCAGCTCGCTGCTGCTGGTGGTGGGCGGAGAGTGCGGGTGCCCGGGGCTGCTGGCCTACGTGCTGGAGGAGCTCGAGCGAGGTTGGGGCGGGCCGGGGCGCGCGGGCGCGGCGGGGCGGGGCGGGCGCGCGCCGAGATTCTGGCCCCTGAGGAAGGGGTCGGGGTGGGGGGTCAGAGGCAGGAGACAGCGGGACCTCGGGGCCGGGAGCGGGGATTGTTCGCGGGATAAGGACTGGACCCAGGGGTGTCAGGGTTGGGGGTGACTGGGGCAAAGACCCGGGGTGGCGGGGATTCAGCGGCGAGGGGTGGGGAGGCAGGTCGAGGGGCCAAGAGCCGGAGCAGAGGGTTTAAGGATTCCGGGTGTGGGAGGCCAGTGGGGCCCAGGGGCGGGGCGGCCGGGCGGGGGGCGGAGGCTGGATCCTGAGGGGCCGGGAGGGCGGCGCAGGGTTCCCAGGCGGAATTCTGGGGCAAAGGAGAGGGGTGGGACCGTAAACGGAGGAATCTAGGCCCTGGCGGCCTGCGGTTCGGTACCCCCTCACCACTAGGCGCATGACTCGGGCACAGGCCCTGGGCGCCCTTGTAGGAAGCGGCATCGGTGTCGGAGTTGGGCAGCCCCGCCCAGCCTGGGATGCAGACAAGGGTGTAGACCGGGGAGGGCACACGGGCTGGGCTTTGAGGCCCTGGCAATTGTGTAACGCAGGCGACCGCTCAACTTCCCGCCCGCCCGGGACCGTCGAGGGGAAGGCGGGGTGGCCTGGATTGCCTGGGCTTAGCAGCAGAGTAGTGCTGCAGGGAGGAGTAGGCCTGGAGAGGCTAAGCCCAGAGCCGCGGGGTTCACTTTTAGTTGCTCTAAGAGAAGCTGCTAATTGGGGTGTGGGCGGGTGCGACCTGCCCAGAGGATTTGGCAGCTGGGGTGGTGACTCATGGGTGCACCTGCAAGGTTCACCTGCAGCCACTTGGCATGTAGGTTGGGCAGATGTGGTGCACCCCACACCGAAGTTGGAAGGTATTCACCCATGCATCTCAGAATGACAGGTGCCTTTCATGGCCTGTAAAATGGGATTGCAGTCCACACTTCAGTTCTGAGGATAGACCAAGTTTAAGCACTCCCGTGGTGTCAGGGGTGCTTAGACAATGTAGAGGGTTAGGGGAGCATGGCAAGAGAAAGGGCCTCCGGGCAGTGAGAATGACCTGTGCCACACTGGAGAGGTAGCCTGGAAAGTCAGGGGAGCTGCAAAATCAGTGGAAAGGGTGAGATGAAGGGGACATTGACCACTTGGGAGACGGACTTTTTTGCTAATGTTCTGAGTCTTATCTGTAAAATTATAGGTTATGTTCTATGTTCTTGATGCAATGGGAGTCAAGGGGAGGATGCTGGGGTAACCCCTCTCATCAGATACTAGTTATTGAAACTTTCAGGGAGCTAAGGAGCCCAGCTAACCCCACACCCCCATGCCCTGCCCTTACCAGGCATTCGGTCCTGGGACATTGACCCTGGCATCTGTAGCCTGGATGAGCAACTCAAGGTCTTCGTGTCCCGGCACTCAGCAACCTTCTCCAGCATCGTGAAAGGTGAGACTGGGCTCCCCAGGTGTCCTAGCTGCTTCCCTTCCACTTGTCCATTGGTTAGGTGTTTCTGAATGCTAGGCGTGGAGAGAGGGGGGCACGGTAATAAATAACCTCAGTAATAGTGTAGCTGAGATTCTCCCCAATGCTGAGTACCAAGCAGTGGTGGCCACTGACCCAGTGTCAACGTCCTCAGTCCTCAACAACCCACAAAGCAGGAATTAGTGATTTTGTCCCCCTTTTACATATGAGGCAGCAGAGGCATAGGGGATGGGAGACCTCCAACCAGCAGTCTTTTGGGTCAGAAGCAGCTGGGGCTGGCGTGTCAGGTGGTGTGTCATATAGAGGCTTAGTAGTAGGAAAGGGCGTTTAGAAAGAGAGGCACTGCGAAGATTGAGGGCCCAGGGGTGGAATATGGGCCCCGCATAGGGAGGGACTGTGTCTGGCTTGTAGTGGTGACCTCTGTAGAGGACCAGGTGCACAGTAGCTGCTGAATAGATGGGCTGAGAAGAGGCCAGATGGAGGAGTAACCAACTCTTCCTTGGCCTCCTCCCTACCCCACCCTCTCTAGCATGTGGCTAGGATTGGGGAGCGGGCAGGGGTGACCCAGGGTGAACAGAGCAACTGAGTGTGGCATGGGTATTCCCTACAACCCCTCCCCTCCCCCCGCCCCCAGCATGTTGAGTCACCTCCCAGCCTCTGGGTGGGAAGGAAGTGTCTGTCACCTCATTGTCCCAGTGACTCCTGGTGGCTTCCTGGCCTCTAACGGGATGAAGGGCTAGAAATCCCATCTGCTCTGTGTGACCTTGTTGGCCACTTCCCCTCTATGTGCCTTGGTTTCCCCCTAGTGAGACAACATCTGTGTGATAAGACTAATACTGACAAGCATGATATTTAGAACACATCTGGGCTATGGGGTCAGACCAGGCTTTGGCTCCCCCCTCCAAGCCCATGAGGCTTTATGCCCCACCCACCACTTCCTGATCCTCAGAAACCTTGGTCCTGTCTCAGGGCCTATCCCATATGAGCCCTCTTGTGGGGCATCCCGTTTTGGCTCTTCCTGGGTTCAGACTCCTTGTTTATAAAATGGAGTGATCATGGTATACCCCACAGAGCTAACAGTTGGGAGTAGGGCCCCACAAGAGACCTTGTCACCGCCATGCTAGTGTGTGACCTTCAAAATGGCTTGTTGATTCTGCTTTATGATTTGTGGTTCTTCCATGTACCTCTTAATCCTGGGTGACCCTCTGGCTGGAGTTCCCAGGAAATAGTCTACAGGAGCCTGTGGCTGCCTGGGGCCTCACAGGGCAGGCAGTGTCTGATCCTGGGACAGCCCCAAACTCATAGGGTCTGGTTCCCTCACAGGCCAGCGCAGCCTACACCACCGTGGAGACACCTTGGAGACCTTGGTCCTCTTGAACCCATCCGACAAATCCCTGTGTGATGAGGTAGGCAGGGATCGGACCCTAGGGGAGATAGCTGGTCACCATTCCTATCCTGATCTTCCTTGTCCCTGACATCATGCTGTATGAAATCCTTGTCTCTATACAGGAAGCCTCTCCTGATGATTCCAGCCTCAACTTACTCTCTCCTGGGGAAGAATTGAGATCAGAAAAGGCTGGAATTTGGGAGAAATGGGTGGGACTGTAAAGATGGAAGGGAACAGGCAAGACTCTGCTGATGTGCTTTTACCCATATGGGCACATTAGTTATCAGCACTGAATTCTGAATACTCGATCTTGTAGGCTTCTGAAGCCTTCTGCCAATTATTGCCCATCAGGGAGATGAGTACAATAGAGCCCTGGGGCACTCCTCTAGAGACCCTTGATTCATCAGATAAAAAATGTTCACATTTACTCCTTCAAGGGGCTTAGTCTGGAGGATACCTCCCTCTGCATGGCTTTAGGATTGGGCTTGTGGGAGCACAGAAAAGGTATAGAGGGTCTCCAAGAGGAGTGGGCTTTGTAGGATGGAGTTGGGCTTTGTAGGATGAGTAGGAGTTTGCCGGGGGGTGGAGGTAGGGCCCAGCAGAAGACCTCGAGTATACCCTTCCAGATTCTATTAGGGTTGAACATTGACCTAGCCCTGGGTTGGGACCAGAACAGGTATAGATTTGGGGCTACCCCAAAGAGGGGTTCTGGTTATGTCACTGCATAGAATAGCTCCTTTAACACTCTTCCTCCCACCCCAGCTTCGGAACCTCCTGTTGGACCCTGCCCCTCACAAGCTCCTGGTACTCGCTGGGCCCTGCCTGGAGGATACTGGGGAACTGCTGCTCCAGACAGGGGGCTTCTCATCCCGCCACTTCCTTCAGGTTCTGGGGGACAAAGAGGTAAGTACTTTTGCCCATCCTGGCTCATCCCCATCTGGCTGCATGCTACAGCGACCTGCTGCCCCCCTTCCTGTGAGCCCCATCCCCTCCTGCTCTGTGGACCGTGGTGGTGGCACATGTGCCCCCTGTTCTCAGCGTCCAGTCACAGTAAAGACTGTGCCTAAGGTCATAGGATGTCCCAGAGGCTTCTAGTGGTGCCCAGATTCCTGATCCTCTCTGGGACAGAGCTGGGGGGTGGTGGTAGGGGGGCAAGTGAGCAGAAAATGCTGCCAACCTCACTTTCACACTGTGAATGATATGGTAGTATAGTGATGCTGAATAAAGCCAGCACAGAGATGGGGCATGGAGTCTGTTGTGGGGATTAAGAGCAAAGGCTTAGAGGCAGGGAAGGGTTGAGGAGAGGGACAATAGGTGAAGCCAACCTGGGGAGGGCTGCATTTTGTCCTGGTCTCTTGAGTTAGCAAGAGACCCTCCAAACTCCAAGAAGCAGGATGGGGTATCTGCCTAGTTTTCTCCAGGGTCTGGGTGTTGCCTGGCACTGGGTAGCCCCTTAACCTTTCCCTGCCCCTCTACAGATCCAGGATCTACTGGTCTCAGCATCACCTCCTACAGAGCCTTCCAAGCTTACCATCACCTGTCCAACCTTCGGGGACTGGGCCCAGCTGGCTCCTGAAGTGCTGGGCCTCCAAGGGGTGCTGCAGCTGCGACTAAACCCACCAGGGCAGCTGCCAGCCTCTGAGGGCCTGCGTGAGTTCCTAGAGTACGTGGCTGAGTCACTGGAACCGCCGTCTCCCTTTGAGCTGCTTGAGCCACCAGCTTCCGTGGGCTTCCTCAGGCTCGCTCGGCCCTGCTGCTACATCTTCCCTGGGGGTCTCGGTGATGCTGCCTTCTTTGCCGTCAATGGCTTCACTGTGCTGGTTAACGGTGGCTCAAACCCCAAGTCGAGCTTCTGGAAACTGGTGCGGCACCTGGACCGGGTGGATGCTGTGCTAGTGACCCATGCAGGCGCTGACAGCCTCCCTGGCCTCAACAGCCTCCTGCGGCGCAAACTGGCGGAGCGGGAGGAGGCAGCAGCTGGTGGGGGCTCTGGGGATGACCGTCTGCGCAGACTCATCTCCCCAACCCTGGGGGTGGTGTTTCTCAATGCCCGTGTGGCAGCTTCACGCCTGGTATGCGGTGAGGATGAGGCAGAGCTGGCCCTGAGCCTCCTGACTCGCCTAGGCCTCACGCCCCTGCCCCTGAGCCGTGGGCCTCTGCCAGCCGAGCCTACTGTGCTTTTCCAGAAGATGGGTGTGGGCCGGCTGGACATGTATGTGCTGCACCCACCCGCAGCTGGAGCTGACCATTCTCTGGCCTCTGTGTGTGCCCTTTTGGTATGGCACCCTGCTGGCATTGCAGAGAAGGTGGTACGTGTGCTGTTTCCTGGCTGCACACCACCTGCTCGCCTCTTGGATGGTCTGGTGCGCTTGCAGCACTTGGGGTTCTTGAGGGAGCCTGTGGTGACGCCCCAAGATCTGGCAGGACCTCGGCGTGCTGAGAGCAAGGAAAGCGTGGGCTCCAGGGACAGCTTGAGGAGAGAGAGCCGGACAAAAGCACCTGCCAGGCCTGTCCAGGAGCGCTCTGGGGTGGCCCGGAAGGAACCACCGCGGGCTGAGGCCCCTCGAAGGGCTGAGAAAGAAGTTAGGCCCCCCCGGGAGCTGAAGAAGGAACCCAAGCCTAGTGTCCCTCGGGCCCAGCCCCAAGTCCGTGAAGTGCGCCGGGCAGCCTCTTCTGTGGTCAATGTCAAGAAAGCAGGTGCCCAGGCAGCCCCTAAGTCTCGCAGAGCACCTGCTTCCACCAGCCTGGGTGGCCCACCAGCAGAGAATGGACCCCACAGCCCCCCGAGCTTCCAGTGCAGAGAGGCCAGCCCTCCCTCAGAGACCCACAGTTCCCCTGCCCCCCAGCAGGTGGCCGCACCTAGTCAAGAGAGCAGCCTGGAACTGGGGCTGAACCTTGCCAGGGAGAATGCAGGCAACTCACAGGAGAATTCTCTGGAACTGCCATTAGTCAACAGCACCCCCCAGCCATGTACCCCCTCGCCTGTGGAAGCCCACCAGGGCCCAGCCGAGGGCAGTGGGCGGATGTCCCTGAGCCCCCTGCGGGGTGGGGAAGCTGGGCCAGATGCCTCACCCACAGTGACTACACCCTCACTGCCTGCTGAGGTGGGCTCTCCACACTCCACAGAGGTGGACGAGTCCCTGTCTGTTTCTTTTGAGCAGGTGCTGCCACCAGCTCCTGCCACTGCCAATGAGACCGGGCTGAGCCTCCCACTGCGGGGCCCCAGGGCTCGGCGTTCAGCTTCCCCACACGATGTGGACCTGTGCCTGGTGTCGCCCTGTGAGTTTGAGCACCGCAAGGCTATGTCCATGGCACCAGCTCCTGCATCGCCTGGGAGCTCCAACGACAGTAGTGCCCGGTCCCAGGAGCGAGCAGGGGCTCCAGGGGCTGAGGAAACGCCACCCACGTCTGTCAGCGAGTCCTTGCCCACCCTGTCTGACTCAGACCCACTGCCTGCTGCCTCTGGCACTGTGGACTCAGATGAGGACACAGAGGGCTTTGGGGTCCCTCGTCGTGACCCCCTACCTGAGCCCCTCAAGTTTCCCCCACCTCTGCCCACTCCGCCCAGCATCTGCATGGTGGACCCTGAGATGCTGCCCCCCAAGCAGGCCCGAGTAGCGGAAGCCCTCAGCCGTACCCGCAAGTCCCTTGTCCGCACCAACCCCGGGACTACCGCCCCCAAAGCCACTCCAGTGACCACTGCCAAAACCAAGGGACTGGCAAGTGGGGACCGGAACAGTCGACCCCTCAGTGCCCGGAGCGAGCTCAGTGACAAGGGAGGTCGGGCACCCCTGTCCAGGAAGTCCTCAGCCCCCAAGACAGCTGCTCGAGGCCCAACTGGTAAGTGCCTGGGGACTGGGAAAACCTACAGTAGGTTACTGGCCAGCTCCTTCTGTGCCCTGTTTGTTGTGTGACCTCAGCCATACCCAGGGTTCCTAAGACCACCACACACCCCGCCCCGGCCCCGATTCACTTCTTTACCAGGAGGAGGGCATAGACTTGCAATTGAGGCTTATAGCAAAAGGACCCAGAGCAGACAAGCAAAAGGGAGGCCACAAGGACAGGCATGAGCCTCCTGTTGCCGCCCTCATGGGGGGGTACCCACAGTGCTGACTCCATCTCTCACTATGTTAAGAAGATCTGTGTGGGGTTCTGTTTACCAGGGGAACCCAATAGACTCAGCACCCATAATTTCTATTGGGGGCTGATAATATAGGGTCTCTTCCCCCAGCCCCCACCTGACATGACCCTAAATTCCACTCTCCCAGAAAGGGGAAAGCAGGGATCCATGTAAGCCACATTCATATATGGACAGTTAGTAGAGTGAGCTGCTCTTAGGGTTTAGGGAGGGATGGAAATCCAGGTTCCCCGACACCAGCCAAGGGGCCAACCTGTCAGCTTTCTGAGAAAAGTGGTCTCAGTCCCACAGTGCTTAAAATTTTTTTTAATGGTCAACTATATGAAACAACTTCCTGTCTTTTTTTTTTAAATAAATTTTATTTTTATATTCCCCATACAATTGCAACCCCCTTATTTTGACCCCAGTCCCTCCCCTCCCCCCCCCACCCCCCATAGAGTGTCTCTTGTTCATAGTTTTTTGTTGATTTTGATATTTTCTTATAGTTATTCATTTGCCTGGTCCCTTATTTAAGTTTTCTAGATTCCTGCTACGAGTGAGACCATCCGGTATTTTTCTTTTTATTTCTGGCTTATTTTGCTGAGCATGATCCCTTCCAGCGCCATCCATGTTGCTGCAAATTGCATGTGTTTATCTTTTTTGAATGCTGAGTAATATTCCATGGTGTACATGGACCACATCTTCTTGATCCAGTCATCTATTTTTGGGCATTTGGGCTGTTTCCAAAGCTTACCTATTGTAAATAGTGCTGCTATAAACATAGGGGTGCAGGTGCTCTTTGGAATTGATGTTTCTGTGTCCTTTGGGTAAATACCTAGGAGTGGAATTGCTGGATCATATGGAAGCTCTATGTTTAGTAGGTCCAGAAATCTCCACACAGCTCTCCATAGTGGATGGACCAGTTTGCACTCCCACCAACAGTGCAGGAGAGTTCCTTTTTCTCTACATCCTTGCCAACGTTTGTTGTTGATAGTTTTTTTAATATGTGCCATTCTCACTGGTGTAAGATGGTACCTCATGGTAGTTTTGATTTGCATTTCCCTGATTACAAGTGATACAACTTCCTGTCTTAACTCTGTTTAAGTGTGCAGTTCAGTGACATTAAGTGCATTCACATTGTTGTTCATCCATTACCATTCTCCATGTCCAGAACGTTTTCATCTTTCAGAACTCTCTCCATTAAACTCATTCCACAACCCCTCTTCCAGCCCCTGGCAGCCATCATCCTAATTTCTGTCTCTGGGGACCTCATAAGTGGAATCAGTGTTTGCCCTTTTGTTTCTTTCTTATTTCACTCAGCAAAATGTCCTCAATATTTATCCATCTAGCCTGTGTGAGAATTTTCAGTTTTTCAAGACTGAATAATATTCCAGTGTCTGGATGAACCATCTTTTGTTTAGCCTCTCATCATCCAGTGGACAATTGAGTTGCTAGGAGCATGGTGTACAAATGTCTGAGATATTTCCTATCATTCTGTGGACTGCCTTTTTATATGGTTGATAGTGGGTTTTTTTGATTCCTAAGTTTTCAGTTCGTAAAGTCCATATTGTCTCCTTTTCCTTTTGTCTCCTATGCTTTTGGTGTCATATCTAAGAGATCATCAAATTCAATGTCCTGAAACTTCGGTCTTAGGTTTTCTTCTAAGAGTTTTATAGGTCTGGCTCTTGATCAGTTAAGTTCATTTTTGTATGGGGTGCTAATTAAGATTACAGTTTCATCTTTTTGCATGTGGAGAACCAGTTTTCCAAGCACCTTTTATTGGAGAGACTGTCCCCATTTAATGATCTTGGTGCCCTTGTCAAAAATCTTTTGACCATATGTGGGATGGTTTATTTCTGGGCTCTGTTCCACTGATTTATATATCTTGTCTTTATGCCAGAACACATTGTCTTGTTACTGAGCTTTATAGTAAATTTAGAAATCTAGAAGTGTGAATCCTCCAACTTTGTACTTCTTTTTCAGGATTGTCTTGGCTATTTGGGATCCCTTGAAGATTCCATTATACATTTTAGAATGAGTTTTTCTGTTTCTTCAGAAGAACATCACTGGGATTTTGATTTTGATCTATAGATGGTTTTTAGTAGTGTTAATACCTTACCAGTATTAACCCTTTGCACTCCGCTGTCCCCTCTCAGGGGACATCGGAATTCTAGCATATCACTCGGATGTCCCCTCTCAGGGGACATTGCAATTTATTAGTGATTACGGGGAATTGAGGTTATTTCAACGCAACTTTTTGAGACATGCATGTTTCCCTGAAGTTTTATCTTGAAATGGCACAAGAAATTAAATCAAAATATCGTAAAATGGTTCGGAGTGCCAAAGGGTTAAGTTTTCCAATTCATGAATGTGAGTGTCTTTAATTTCTTTCAGCAATGTTTTGTAGTTTCCAAATACAGTATTTTGCTTCTTTGGTAAAAATAATTCCTAAATATTTTATTCTTTTTGATGCCATTGTAAGTGGAGTTTTCTTAATTTCCCCCTTTGCATTTTCATTGTTATTATATAGAAATTCAACTGGTTTTGGTTCACAAACTAGTACTTTGATGATTTCATCTATCAGTTCTCACAGATTTCTTTTGTGTGTGTGGAATCTTTAGGGTTTTCTATACTACTACATTTTGTAGAAGAGATAACCTTACATTCTCTTTTCCAGTGTGTATGCTTTCACACCTTTTTCTTTCTTAATTGCTCTGGTTAGATTTCTAGTCCCATGTTGAATACAAGAGGTGAAAGTGGCATCATTGCATTGTTCCTGATCTTGGAGGAAAAGCTTTCAGTCTTGGACCATTAAGTATTATGTGAACTCTGGGTTTTTCATATATATAATTTTTCTTTTGTTGAGATAGTTTCTTTCTATTCCAGGTTTGTTGAGTGTTGAGAATGTTGAGTTTTGTCAAATGCCTTTCTGTATCAGTTGAAATGCTCATGTGGGGTATTCCCTTGTTCGGTCAATGTGATGTGTGACATTGCTCAGTTTTCGTTTGTTGAACCATCCCTGCACCCCAGGAATAAATCCCACATGGTTGTGGTGTGTTATTTTACTATGCTACTGAATGTGGTCTCTTGGTATTTTTGTTAATTTTTGCATTATGTTCTTAAGAGATATTGGTCTGTATTTCATTTTTCATAGTGTCTTTGTCTGACCTTAGTGTCAGGACAATGCTGGCATCATAGAAAGCATTTCTTGCTCTTCAGTGTTTTGGAAAATTTTGAGAAGGATTGGTATTAGTTCTTCTTTAAGTGTTTGGTAGAATTCACAGGTAAGCCCAGACAGTTTGATCATTGATTCAATCTCCTTACTATGGAAAGTTACATTTCTTTAAAAATTTTGTTTCTTTGTAGTCAGTATTAGTAGGTTTTATTTTTTAGGAATTTGTATTTTTGTCCTATTTGTTGGAGCACAGTTGTTCATAATACTCTCATAGTGTGTTTTTATTGCTGTGGAGTCATAGTGGTATCCCCATTTTCATTTCTGATTTTACAAATTTGAGGGTTTTTTCCTTTTTCAATTTTGTTAATCCTTTTTAGATTAGAAGAACCAACTTTTGGTTGGTTTTATTCTGTTTTTTTTTTTTTTTATTTTTTTTAATCTGCTGTTAATTATTTCCTTTCTTCTAGATTTGAATTTAACTTTTTTTCTAGTTCCTTAAGTTGTAAATTTATTGTTGATTTGAGTTCTTCTCTTACATCAAATATAAGCATTTATAGTTATAAGCTCCCCCTGAGCTGTCTCAACAGATTCTCTCTTTGTCTCTCAGCAGTTTGATTTTGTATGTCAGTATGGGTCTGTTTGAGTTCATCCCATTTGGATTAATTGAGCTACTTTGATGCTTATGTTTATGTCTTTCATCAACTATGGCAAGGTTTTATTCCCTGCCACCTTCTCTTATACCCCTTTGACCTTTTCTCCCTAGCATCCTCACTCTTAACCTTAGAAGCCTCATATCATTTATTAGCATCACTAGTTTTTAAGAGTATTTTGCTTTGTGTAATCCACTTTGTAAAGTCCAATATTTGTAGTTTTGACTTGCTTTTCTACACATAATTCCCTCCAACTCCTTCCATTCCATTTTGCTGTAAGTGGCAACATTTCATCTTTATGGTATATCCATTGTGTGGATATACCATACCTTGATCCAGTTCTCTATCAATGGGCATTTAATTGTTTCCATACCCTAGCTATTGTAAATAATGCTGCAATAAACATAGCAAGAGCACATAATTTTTTGAGTTGATGATAGATCCCCAAGAGTGTTTCCATTTTTAGTTTTTTTAAAAAAGATTTATTTATTTATGCATACAAGAATTGGGGTACAAGGCCAGAAGTGCAGGGGGTGAGAGGATGCACCAGAGACAGAGTGGGGAACAGAACAGGCAGACGGACTGAAATACACTGCTGAGGGGGGCAGCGGGTGAGACAGGAGAGGTCTGCTGCTCCATGTGGGTCAGCTCCCTGGCTGGCTGGGGATTGAACTCGTGCTGCAAAGGCTGTGGATAGCTTCACAGTGCTGTGCTTAACCCTTTTGTGCCACAAGGGAGGCCCTCCATTTTTAGTTGCTTAAGACAAATCCAGATTGCTAAAGGGTAAACATTCTCAGCTTTGCAGGCCAGCTGTCTGTGCCATAATCATCGGCTGCTGTAGGGCAAACGCAGCTCAGTAAGTACCTGAGTGGGCATGTGTTCTAGTAAAGCTTAACCACAAAAGCAGCAATTGCCAGGCTATAACTTAGGGCTCCTACTTGACCGCTATCCTGCCCATGGAATCCTTGATCTCTTTTTTTTTTTTTTTTTAATTTTTTTTTTATAGAGGCATGTTTTATTTATTTATTTGTTTGTTTGTTTGTTTTGTTTATACATGCACTGGGTACAGTCAGAAGCGCGGGAGGGTGAGAGAATTCACCAGAGCCAGAGCGGGGAGCAGAGCAGGCAGAAGGACCGAAGTACACTGCTGAGGGGAGCAGCGGGCGGCAGGAGAGGTCTGCACGCCATGTGGGACCCTCCTCCGGTGTCCGGGAAGCAGCCGGGGATCGAACCGCTGCAGAGGCCACGGGCAGCCTCGCAACCCAGCGCTCAACCGCTGCGCCACCGGGGAGGCCCGGAATCCTTGATCTCTTGTTGCCATTATGCTCTGCCTCCAACTTCCCCACACTTTGCACAGCTTTGATGACCTTCCCTTCCCAAGGTTCCACTTGGGTCCTTGTTTTCTCCATCCCTAGTTATGAGTGGGAGACTCTGCTGCCCTAGAGCTGGGGTCTTATTATTCTGCAAATACCACAGGTGCCCCATGGGCCCACACCCTGAGCTGGGCAGTGTTTATGATTGTAGGATGGTTTAAGTGTCGAGCAGACTTTACACACCCAATACCCTGCTGTGATCAGCTGGTCATGAGCCCACGTGCCCAGGAGTGGCTACATCCCCTTAGACTCTGGATTCACTCTGTCTCCATCCAGACTGCCACATCCTGAGTTTCCCTTTGCAGCTTTGTTCCTCCCACACCCCCTCTGGGTCCCTATCACTGTTGGGGGCAGGGTTTTTTGTCTGCTTGGTCACCACCATGTCCTCAGGGCCTGGCGGCCCAGGAGGTGTGATCAGTGTCTCTTGAGTAATTGAACATGTGGAGACTGCAGAAGCAGCAGCGCATTCCAGGTTCTGGCTGCTGTGGGAGCTCAAGCTTCTCAAAACTCCCTTTCTGGAAGCCCTTCCCAATTGCCCCCACCCTCTGACTCTAGGGTTTTCTGTGCTCAGGCACTGGCCAGGGAGGTTCCAGGCACTGAAAGGGAGCCTTGGGTGTTTGCAGAGATCATTGGGATAACTGCCCCTGCCAGTGTGGTGCTGTGCAGAGAGATGCCAGTGGTGCTGGGAGCCTTGTCTTGGGTCCTGGGTCTTGGCCCCTTTCTGGTTTCAGAAACTCATGACTGACCCTGTTCTCTTGCTTGCAGGGGCAACCAGCAGCCGTCCAGGAGGATCAGCAGCTTCATCTGGCTCTCCTGTCTACCTTGACCTGGCCTACCTGCCTAGTGGGAGCAGCACCCGCCTGCTGGATGAGGAGTTCTTCCGGCGCGTGCGTGCCCTCTGCTATGTCATCAGTGGTCAGGACCAGTGCAAGGAGGAAGGCATGCGGTCTGTATTGGATGCACTGCTGGCCGGCAAGCAGCAGTGGGACCGTGACCTCCAGGTGTGTAGCCACTTGAGGCCTCAGGTAGTCTGACAACACTAAATGTCATTATGACGTTGCCCAAGCTCCTGGCATGGAACATGGGGTGAGATGCCTTCTGATGTCTTATTGTTAACCCTGCACAGTCCTGTGAGGTCGGTGCCACCTTCACCCAAGTCACAGAGGAGGAAGTAGATTGTTCCCAACAGGACAATGAGACCAAAGTGAGGAGTCTGTCCCAGTCTCGGGACCTTGTTCCCATCATGTCCATGTCCTTATCCATCTGTAGCAAACTTGGACCTGGAGAGAGCTGGTTTGACTCCCTGACTCTTAACCACTGTGGTCGCATGAAAATTAGCCAAGGAAAATGATGGGATATGTGGTGTCTATGCAGCTAGAAAGTTGAGAATTTATGCAGAGGCTGTGCTTGCTCAAAGCCACATAGAAATAGAGCCTTAAATATTGAGCCAAATCTAGGTAGACAGGGAAGTTTCCAGATACATGGTACACAGGTATTGTGTGTGAGCACTGACACCGGCCTTGTATGAGCAACCTCTGCTCTTACACAGCTGATAGAGCAGAGTCCCAGATGGGAGGCACAGCAGATGGGAGCCAACTTGACTAACCAAGGAAGCAGAGGGAGATCAGAACAAGAAAAGGGGGGAGCAATGGAGGCAGAGGGTGAATAAGAAGCATGGGGTGTGGTCCAGGGATTCACAGAGCTATGATGAACTGTGTTGTGAGGGTCCTTTGGGTGCTGTGGAGAAGGGAAGGGACTTTGGGGCTGGTCTGGCTATAAGCATCAGGTGATGCACGGCAGTGTATGGAATGGGATGGGAAGCCACTTCACTCAATAGCGGTTCACTTGTCTTCTCACAGGTCACCCTGATTCCTACCTTCGATTCAGTGGCGATGCATGAATGGTATGAGGAGACGCATGCCCGGCACCAGGCTCTGGGCATCACGGTGCTGGGCAGCAACAGCACTGTATCGATGCAGGATGAGGCCTTCCCTGCATGCAAGGTGGAGTTCTAGTACCTCCCCACTGCCAGAACCTGCCACTGTTCTGAGATTCTCCTGCATCAGAAATAAACCAGGTACTTCAATTGGCTGTAGCCTCACTTCCTCGTACCAATGGGATTCTTTGTCTGAGACAGTGGGCCCTCAGTCCCAGGGGACAGATTCTGAGGACTCCCTGGTGGCTCCAGGTCAGACCTAGGGGTGAGAGTACCTCTCAGGTAACAATCATGCTGTCTACCGCCTTCCGGTCTAACCCAGTGACCATAAGGGTCCATTTGACAGACTGGGAAGGTGGCATTCCCCCCAAAGTCAACTGCAGGACCCCTGTCACACAAACCAGTCAGTGCCGAAGTGAGCTGTGAACCCAGTCTCTGCTCCAAAGCCATTAAACCAGTGAAACTCCATCTCAGAAACCATTGACACTTATGGCAGGAGAGGCACACTCTGCAGGAAGGGCTTCAGAGGGATCCCCCCTTCCTGTCTCTGTACCAAGATAAAAACACCTAGATAGAGTATTAGACAAGGTCCCATCAAGATGGATTGAATGGCTACCCCAAAACCACATTAGTCTGAACCCCAATACCTGTGAGTATCCCCACAAATGGAAAAAGACTCTTTGTGAATATGATTAAATGAAGGATCTTGAGATAAGGTCATCCTGGATTAGGGTGGCCCTAAATCCAATGACAAGCATCCTAAGAGACAGAAGAGGAGATTCGGAGAAGGCACATGAAGCCTGAGGTAGAGAGTGCAGTGCTAGGACTCCAAGCACAGGACACTTGGAGCCATCAGAAGCTGGAAGAGTCAGGAAAGATCCTTCCATTGAACTTTCAGAAGGAACCAGCCCTGCCCACACATGGATTTCAGATTCCCAGTGTCTAGAACTGGGAGAGAATAAAGTCCTGTTTGTAGTCTCCAAATACATGATCATTTGTGATGGTGGCCCAAGGACACACCGCACAGCATGGTCTAACCTCATTGCGTCAGCACATGCTCTCTTCCTGCAGACGGTGACTGGATCGCTGTGTGGCCGGCTGCATGGGCTTCCGTGGTACAGGCTCCTCTGCATCACAGTCCGTGTCTGAGTGCGTTCAGACTGCTGTCAGAGTACACTTGTCTCCCTTCATCTAAGGTGTCAGTCACAATCAACCATGGTCCAAAAATATTTCATACAATAAGATATTTTGACGGACCACATTTACCCAAATTTTACTATACTCTATACATTATATTTGTTAAAATTGTTCTATTTTTAATTTTTGTTTTTATTCTCTTAATCTGCCTGATTTATAATTTAAACTACTGGAGGTATGTGTGTATAGGAAGAAACAACACATGTAGGGTGTCAGACTGTCCATGGTTTCACACATCCACTGGGGATCGTGGAACAGGTCCTCTGAGGATAAGGGGGACTACTGTACACAGATTGGGGCATGGGGGGTGTTTAAACAACACATTTCTCACAGTTCTGGGGGCTGGGGAATCTAAGATCAAGGTGCCACAGAGTTAGTTTCTGGTCAGGATTCTCTTCCTAACTTGGAGGTGAAAGGCCTTCACCCTGTGTACAGACATGGCCAGGGGGAGGAACACTAGTCGGCAAGTTTTCTGGAGCCGATATAAGAGTGCTGATCCCATCATGGGGAACCACCCTCATGAGCCCATCTAACTCTAACTACCTTCCAAAGGCCCCACGTCCAGACACTATTACCTTGGAGATTAGGACATTCACATACAAATTTTGAATTTGTGGGGAATACATAAAACTGGGGATCAGAGTTGCAGGGCCAGCAGCAAGCATGAAGATTTCAACAAAGGATTGGTTTCAGCACCTGGCAACTTCCTATGGGAGCCAGGTAAACAATCACTGGTAATTTCATGAGAAATGTGGAGACCTATCTCTGGGCCTGGTAGTCAGGATGGGCAGATAGACATTGGGTGATCCTATGGGAGCCCCAGGAGACACAGGAGAACACTGTGGACACTGAGAACACGGCGGTGATGCCCGGGAACCGGTACCTGGTCACCATCTCAGTGCACACATGGTGGCCAGGAGGGGGCGCAGTGACAAGCAGGGCTTCAGAGGCCCTGGGATCTGGATCAGAGACTGCAACCACCTCTCATCACCATTTCTACCCTCTACTTCCAGGGAAATTTTCAGGGAAGGAAGTCCTGGGTCTTGCCAAGTTGACTCAACACAAAGTCAGCACTGGCCACTTCTGCTGCCAGGCAGGGTGGGTTATGTTCCTTGCCCTCCTATGATCACTTAGTCCCAGTCTCCAGGTGGGTCATTTCATACACAAGGCTGCATCCCCCCGATTTTCATTTTGCCTAAACTGTCAAGTGGGGGTGGCGTCTTCTCATTTCTTTCCTAACCAGGGAGGTTTTCTTTGTTTAACTTTAACTCATAAGATTTTTGTCTCTTTTCATTTGTATATTATAATTTTTTTTCAATAGGGACAATAAACTTAAAAAATAATTTGGCAAGCAAAAACATAAAATTTACCATCTTAACCATTAATAAACTTTTTTTTTTCTAGTTTTTTTTTTTTTTTTTTTTTTTTTTATTTATACAAGCACCGGGTACAGTCAGAAGCGCGGGAGGGTGAGAGAATTCACCAGAGCCAGAGCGGGGAGCAGAGCAGGCAGAAGGACCGAAGTACACTGCTGAGGGGAGCAGCGGGCGGCAGGAGAGGTCTGCGCGCCATGTGGGACCCTCCTCTGGTGGCCGGGGAGCAGCCGGGATCGAACCAGCGCTGCAGAGGCTGCGGGCAGCTTCGCAACCCAGTGCTCAACCGCTGCGCCACCGGGGAGGCCCTAATAAACTTTTGTGTTGTAAATGTTTTCCAAACTCACCTTTCAGTTTTGTTTAAAACGTTTATAGCAAAGCCATTCATTTATTTATGGTTTTCAAACCACACTCATTAAATCTCTCTTGGTGCTTTAGGAGACCTTTCCTGCAGTTGACACGAATTCTCCCAAAAAACAAATTGCTTATAAGTTCCTATTATTTTTTTTTTACCATTTAGGATTTATTTGGGGATGAAGAGAAGTAGGGCTGGCCCACCCCAGAGGGATGAGTGACTGTCCCACAAGCCCTCCTCCCTGAATGAGACTGTGTATTGGCCTCTTTCTGAATCTGCTCTAACCCAGGGCTGACTTCTTTTCCATGCTCTTGTCATTGGTGTAGCTTTGGTGTCCAAATAGCTGATTAGGTGGTTTTTTCTTCTATTTTTTTCCTTCATCAATTCCCTTCTGTTTTCCCATGCTCATTCTTGTTGGAGTTGTCAGATCTCCACAGAGGGGCCCAGACACATGCAGGAGAAATGATGTCAGCTTCTGTTTCTGACCAAATAGTGAAGCCAAGCTGCCCCTCCCCATCGAGTTAAAACAACTGGAAGTGCTGGATTGAGTTGGACAAGGCAGCTTTGGCCTTCTGTCTTCTTGGACTTTCGGATGGTGAGTCTGATAAGACCTCAAAGGGTGTTTTTAGAATCAGAATTAGTTTTCAGGATAGAAAGGAAACTTGGATATCTCCAACCTTGTGGTTTGGCGCTGGGGGGAGAATTGGAGGTGGTGAATCAAGTCCCATGACTGTCACCTCATGTGAGTTTGCAACCCAGACATTATTTGGGTGTCTGCCAGCCTCCACTGGGCAGCATGGTTTACAGCAGTCTAGGATGGTAGTGACCCTAGGGGTTTGCTGGAAGAATCTACATACACACACACATAAACACACACACGCTATAAGGAATTTTCCCAATCACATCCCAGTGAGTACGAGCTAGCATCAAAACTCAGAACCTGGGCCTCCCCGGTGGCGCAGCGGTTGAGCACTGGGTTGCGAGGCTGCCCGCGGCCTCTGCAGCGCCAGTTCGATCCCTGGCTGCTCCCCGGCCACCGGAGGAGGGTCCTGCATGGCGCACAGGCCTCTCCTGCCGCCCGCTGCTCCCCTCAGCGGTGTGCTTCCGTCCTTCTGCCTGCTCTGCTACCCACTCTGGCTCTGGTGAGTTCTCTCACCCTCCTGCTCTTCTGACTGTGCCCAGTGCTTATATAAATAAATAAAAATAAATCTTTAAAAAAAAAAAACACTCAGAACCTACTATCACAGAAGTGATAGTAGCCAGAACTTTCAATTTTGGGATCATCAGACCCACCACAGGTATGTTTAATTCTGAAGTGTGAACAAAGCAAAAGGTAGTATTTGCAGAAGAACCAGATAGAAGAGAAATTAAATTAATCACTGAGATTTCAAACACTGGATGGGGTTGATCATGGATGTGAGATGGCTGAGGAAGAAAAATCTGATGAACTGGAAGATGGGACTGAGGACGTTTCTCAAACATGAGAAAAGAAAAACATTGAAAGAATAGAAGCAACTCTGAAGGAAGGTAATGACAGAATTTTCCAGAATTCATTAAACATGTCAGTATTTTCAGAATGCCCCCAAAAGGATATACAAAAACAAGAATGAAAGTGCAGAAAAACAAAGTTGAGAAGCAAAGCAAGAATGACAATTGGAGCGCCAATGCCCCAGCCCACAACAGGGAACCCAGGACACAGTGGGGATCCCCTTCAAGGGGCTGGGGAAAAAGTCACACCTCTTAACAACCGGGATACATTCTGAGAAACACGCCTTTAGGCAATTTTGTCATTGTGTGAGTGTCATAAAGTATAATTACCCAAATGTAGATGGGACAGCCCCTACACACCTAGACTTGATGGCACAGTGCTAAGACCACCTTCATATATGCAGTCCATGTTGGTAAAAGGCCATTTAGCATCCTGTTATTATAACAACCCAGAAACTATCATACAACAAGAAAGGAGGATATGGGAGAAATGAAGACCCTCTTTGATCAAAATTCTGAGGCAATTTTTCAGAAAATAGCTAGACGGACTGTGAAAAGGAGGAAATGGTGAACATAAAAGTGGGAAATATGTGAGTGCCACTAAAGAATCGCCATCTTTGTTAACAAGATGTGTAATGTCCCATGTATAGGAGTAAAAACTTAATTAAATTTAGACAACAACGTGAAGGAAGAGCTGATGGAGTAAGAAAGCTTTAAATCCTTGTTTGATGGGAGAACATTATTTGGGTGAGCAGAGTATGATATTAAAAATTTGTCATAGTAAAGACTAGGAGAATAGAAGTAAACTGTAACTTCCCAACTACTAAAGAGGAAGGGGGATTAGAGTGAAAAAGAAGTAATCCAAAATAGTCCTTCCAGGGCCTCCCTGGTGACGCAAGGGGTTAAGACGCAACTTATGAAGCTAGCCACAGCCTCTGCAGCACAATTCGATCCCCTGCCAGGGAGCAACCCGCATGATGCAGCAGACCTCGCCTGACTTGCCGGCTGCTCCTCTCAGCAGTGTATTTCAGTCAATCTGCCTGTTCTGTTCCCTACTCTGTCTCTGGTGAATCTTCTAACCCCCACACCTCTGGCCTGTACCCCAGTTCTTGTATGCATAAATAAATCTTTAAAAAGCAAAATAGTCCTTCCAAAGGGACGGTGATACAAATAACCCAAAATAATAGAAATGCATAAAAATTTCCAGTGATTTCAATAAATATAAATGAACCAAAAAAAAATTTAAAGGGAAAGATGGTCGGACTATATATATTTTTTAAAGATTTATTTATGCATACAAGAGCTGGGATATAGGCCAGAGGTGTGGGGGGTGAGAGGATTCACCAGAGACAGAGTGGGGAGCAGAACAGGCAAATGTACTGAAATACACTGCTGAAGGGAGCAGCAGGCGAGTCAGGAGAGGTCTGCTGTGCCATGTGGGTCATCTGCCTGGCCCAGAGTGCTTCAGAGTGCTGAGACTTAACCCCTTGCACCACCAGGGAAGCCCCTGGACTGTATTTTTGAAAAGTGAAGTTTCATGCTACTTAAAAGAAACATCTAAACATAAAGATGCTGAAAACTGAAGAAAAAGGGGAAGACAAATCTAGTTTATCTTTTTTTAAGCTGATATAGCCATATTGATTACATAATGTAAAGTTTTGGCATGTTACCAGAAATGAGATAAATTAAAGCTTTATTTCACTAAGAAGATATAAAATGTTTCAAACTTGTGTGCACTTGATAACACAGTCTCAAAGAGCTACTGGAGGGGATCATACATTTATCCCTCCCCCCTCCCTTTTTTGAGTTATTGATAGTTTTTCTTATATTGATCCAGCCTTACTTCCTAGAACGAACTCCACTTTGAGCCTGGGCTTTGGCCCTCAGTACTTGGTGTATCTTTCCCTGCTTCAGATTTTGATGTTGCTCTTTCTCATCACCCTCACTCAGCAGCCGAGGATCACACAACTTCCAACCACCTAGAACATGTGGTGAGAGGCAGGAGGGGGAGAGGAGAGACATGATGAATCAGGTACCACTGCCACTCATGTCACTGACCAAAGCAAATCACATGACAGCTCCCTGTACAAATTGCCTCAACTCAGGGAGGGATTGCATTAGCCTCCAGGTGGGCAAAATCATCTAGCACAAAGTCCATTTTATACTAGCGAGGAATAAATATCTCATGTGGTGATTGCACACACAGGCGTATCGGCTGTTCCCTCACCCTTTCCCTGGTGGTCACAGGACTGACTGGAAAATCATTCCTGTGGCCCAGTCTTAAAAGGATCACACTGCATTTCCATGCTTTCTACTGAATGCTTATTACTTTCATACCATCATAAAGTTGAAAATTGGGACCATTCTGAGTGGGGACCATCTGGGCCTGGAAGGAGGAGAGCAAGGAGAAGCAAAATCACTGGTGAAAATCAATCACTGCTGACAAATCTCCCCCAACGAGAGTTTTGTCCTGGCTGTGGTGGGCAAGCTGTCTCTGCAAAGAGCCAATAGTAAACCATTTTTGGTATTGTTGGCTATACAGTCTCTGTGCAGTCCACTCAACCCTGAGGTAAACTTCATTTACACAAATAGACAAAGGTGGCACTTTGCCCTAGGGCGGTGGTTTGCCAAGTCCTGCCTAAGGGCCATAGTCTCTGACTTTCCCATCCAAGAGCTGGAACAGTTTGGGGACTGGAGTTCCACCCCTTTCTCTACTTCCCCTCCCCCATTCCTCTCTATCCCCTTTACCCTCACTCTATCCTTTTCTCCCTCCCTCTCCCCCAATCTCTCCAGACAGCTGTCTGGTTCAGCCTCAGCTGAGCTTGCACTAAAAATATCCCTGCTGCTGCCAAGATACCTGGAGGCCCTGGCCCTGCAGCAGGCTCAGGATCCTCCTTTGTGACCTTGGCCTGTAACTCCACCCCTCGATACTCACCTTGAGTCTGCCCTTCTCCCTCCCACCCCGTTTCTCAGTATTGCTTCAATATCGAATCAGCTCCAGACTTTGAAGCCCGGGGGTCCTCTCCCTTAGATCATTCATCACTGGCAACCACTCAAATCAGTGGATGCTGCCCTCTCGAGGTGAACTCAAGTTGGGAGACACACAGGGGATGCATGAGGCACCCGGGGATCCGGAGCCATTATGGGATGCAAAGATTAAGCCATGTTGGGAGCAGGAGCTCATTTCTGCCCCTCCGGTGAGACCCATGGAGGCAGACTCTGCTTAGAGGAACCGAGAGGAGATTGGGAACCTGGGGCTGTGGCTGGCGCTGCAGCTGCTCAGATAACCGGCTGGAGCTTCCTGCGACTTCCCGTTCCAGGGGTGGGAGGCGGCCAGGATCGAGGGCTGTTGGGGTCTGGGGGAACGAGTTGGGAGAGGCTGATGCTGGGGCTGGAGGCCCTGGTTCCCTGTGGAGCATCACCAACCAGGGCACTTTTCTGGGGAGACGTGGGCTTGTGGGATGCATAGTTGGCCTGCCAGGAAAGGCAGGTAACACCAGCTCATCTCCCCAGCCACATCTACTGTGGTTCCTCCAGGAAGCTCTCCCTGCTTTTGGTCCTCTGCTCCTCCTCTGGTTTTTGCAGGCACACTCTGTTTTAAATGCCACACTGTCACCAACATGTCTGTTTGGTTTTTTTTTTTTAACTCCTAACCCTTCCAGACTCTGTTTTATCTGTTCTCCCCACTGTGAACCCCTGAGGACAGAGGGGCAGCAGGGTTGCTGCTGGGAGAAGACAGGGTGTGTACCCGCTGACCAACACACAGCTGGTGACTTTACCCTCCTGTACATAGTAGGTGCTCAGGAAATGTTGGTTGAGTCCTAGCTTGGCGGTACTGCTGGTTGATCTTGGGAATGTTACTTTTCTGCTCCCTCATCTCAGAAATAAGAAATTACCTGAACCTCTAGGTGCCTCAGACTATGAACAAACTACCTGGTTCTGCATTCTCTCCTCCCATCCCTATGTCATCTTTGGGGATATAAAGTCAGGGCGGATGAAAGCTTTAACACCAGAGCTCCTGCATCAAGTGACTCTGACATGACTTTGATGCCTGCCTCCCCAACCCCTCACCTGTAAACCGGGAACCACTGCCCTCCCCCCCTTGCCCTTGGGGAGGCATGTATGGGAAGGATCAATACAGTTGGACAGTGTAAGTGGTGCCAGGACCCTCAAACTACCACCCCAGCCCTGGAGGGTCAGCAATGATGTGGAAGAAAGGCTGGGTGGAGGCGAGAGGCAACTATATAGGAACTGAGAGTTATAGATAGAGAAGTTACCAGTCAGATGTGGGACTGGACAAAGGGCATGAAAGTCGGAACAATTCTGCTAGACGCAGCCAGGTGGCAGAAGAGGTGAGGACAGATTTGTGAGCCAGGCCAGACCACGTAGGCCCTGAAGGCTTCAGGGAGACAGCCAGGGTCTTTAATGATGATGTTGGGCAGTTACCAGAGAACTTGGAGCTGGAGAGGAAGGTGATTGTGTTTGGAAATGCTCTGTGAGCCCCGGTTAATGTCCTGAAGCCGTGTACACAGGAATAGAGCAAGCAAATGCAGGGCAGGTGGTAGGAGACAGGTTTCTCGCAGCTGGAGAGGGAGATTGCAGATAGGCAAGGGGAGGAGACTGGAAGGATTCATTTGATAATAGATTAGATGCAGAGACATCTGCCTGAGCTCATGTTTAACTTAATGTAGATACCATTCAATTTAGGCAAAAGAGCTACATATGGAAAATCAATATTTATAGATATGTGCCTAATCATAGGTTCATATACACACATTTGTGTCCTTGTCCTGTCATCTGAGGGACTTAGAAGCAACAGCACCCCAGCAGCAACCAGCATGCCTACTGCCCAGGCCTCAGCTTTTTCTTTTTTTTTATTTATGCATACAAGAACTGGGGTGTAGTCCAGAGGTGCGGGGTGTGTGAGAGGATTCATCAGGGACAGAGTGGGGAGCAGAACAAGTGAATCTACTGAAATACACTGCTGAGGGGAGCAGTGGGCAAGAGAGGAGAGGTCTGTTGTACCATGGCCATGTAGGCCAGCTCCTTGGGTGGTGGGGGATTTGGGGATCAAACTTGTGCTGCAGTGGCTGCCAATAGCTTGATAGTGCTGTGTCTTTAACCCCTGCACCACTAGGGAGGCCCCAGACCTCAGTTTCTAAGATGATTCTCTATAGAAAGCCTCCAGGGGCCTCCCCGGTGGCGCAGCAGTTGAGCGCTGGGCTGCGAAGCTGCCCGCAGCCTCTGCAGCACCAGTTTGATCCCCGGCTGCTCCTGGGCCACCGGAGGAGGGTCCCACAAGGCAAGCAGACCTCTCCTGCCGCCCGCTGCTCCCCTCAGCAGTGTACCTCGTCACTCTGCCTGTTCTGCTCCCCGCTCTGGCTCTGGTGAATTCTCTCACCCTCCTGCACTTCTGACTGTACCCAGTGCTTGTATAAATAAATAAATAAATCTTGAAAAAAAAAGAAAATGGCTTTAAAAAAAAAAAAAAGAAAGCCTCCAGGATTATAACTTAGGAAAAAAAGCCCTACTCAAGGACTAGGGGAGGAGATATACCAGATGAGTCTGGAGCATATCGTAATGACAAAAGTAAGGAAGTATTAAAACAAACTAAAAAAACCTGGATGCAATGGGGACATGTCCTAGGGACATGACATGCAGTGAACCAGCTTCCAGAAGCCAAAGTTAGTACAATTTCAGCAACATAATCAATAAAGCATAAATAAAGATAATAAATGAAGGACAAAAATAAATCTTCAGGCAGAAGAATCCCAAATAATTTGTGCAGATGCTATGGAGGGGAGAAGAGGGACCCCCCACCTTCAGGGTCTGTGCACAGGACTTCCTTCCAAAGGTCAGGGCATGGAAGTGGGGGGAGTCACTTTACAGTAGAGACACCTGACAGATGCTGCTCAGCCAAGTACCAAGGCCCTGTCAGTGGCAATCACAATGATGGCAAGTGTCTCGGACACACTGTGGTGAGAGGGCACATCACCTCTGTGGTCCCCCAAACCCATTCCCCTGTCCAACTACAAGTAAAACACCAGGCAAACCCTGACTGAGGACATCCCACACACTCCTTAACAGATCTCAAAATTGTTAGGATATCAAAACCAGAAAGTGAAAATATATCTGAGCCCAGAGGAACTTAAGGGATCTGATAGCAAATGTGAACTGAGGTGCTGGCACCAAAGGGACATTAGGGGAAATGGAATTATCTTAATAACATGTGAGCTTCAATTAATAATAATGCCTCAGTACTGGCTCACAGCATTGTGGTCGGAATGTTAAGATGTCAGCATGTGGGGGTGGGTTACGCAGAAATTCACTGTACTATCTTCACAATAATCCTATAAATTAAAAACTGCTCTAAAATAAAACTGTTATTTTACAAAACACTATTGCTGTCATGGGGACAGAGATGATCTGGGTAGCGGGAGTAAGAGGCCTGCTTAGGAAGCTGAGGCAGCAACCAAGCTGCAGATAGCTGGACCAGGACCTGAGCCACCTTGGTGCACAGGAAAAAGGGGTAAATTGGGCCTGTCTCAGAGACACAGGGGCAGCAGGACCAAGTGTGGAATGATAAAGAGAAGACTCTTAGGGACACCCTGATGGTCTGCCTCTGAGGCTCCCTTACTGAGCTGGGAGGTCAAGGTGGAGCAAGCTTACAGCCAGGGACAGCAGTCAAGGGCCCCAGTGGAAGACTGAATGGGGCACCACTCAGATAAGGAGAAGGGGAGGCCTTAAAGATTGGTGATAAGACGGACTTCTTGGGGGGATGGTTCTCGGCCTGGGGCCAGATCCTGAAGCTGCCCTCATAACGTTCTCCACTTTGTGGCTCAAATAAGGATTACTACCCTCCCGCTCACAGGTCTGTGGGGGACATCAAACGAGCCTGCTCAGTGCCTGGAATACACTGGGGGCTAAGAAACATGTCACCACTGCCCGCTCCCACCAGGTCTCTATTGGAAGAAATGGCGCCTGCCGCTTTAAATTATGCAAATGATTTAGGGTGGTGCTAGGGAGAGAAATTTTTTTTAAAAAAGAGCCTCTTCTTCAGTTTAGCCAATCAGCGCACTGGGCTGGTGGCGCTGGCCGCCTAAATGGCCCAATGGCGGGCGGCGCGAACTCAGAGCCCGCCCCAGCCTCCCGGCGCGGCAGCGGGGGTGGGGACTCCCCTGGCCACGCCCCGGGGGTGGAGCTGCGGGCGGCGGCGCCGCAGCCGCGGAGGGCGGGGCAGGACGGGGCGGGGCGGGCTCGGGTGTCAGCGACCGAGCCGCAGGTGGCGGCGGGCGCGGGGCTCGGCCCGAGCTCGGGAGGTGAGTGCTGTCCCCGGGAACCCCGAACCCTCCGGCCCGCTCAGCTCCCCCGCGCCGGGCAATCCTGGCAGCCCGCGGGAGCAAAGGCACGACGGGGCGTGAGGGATGGCGAACGGGGTGGGGGGCTGCGCGGTGGGCGTCCCGTTCTCCCCCGCCTCTCGATCATCGCTGGTCAGTGGAGGGAGACAGGGTTCCCATTCCACGTACCCGGTGTCCAGCCCTAGAACCAGAGCGAACAGAGGGGCGGCTACGACGCGAGACCCCTCCCCAAATCCCTTTATTCTAAGCCTGGATCCGGGTTCGGGGATGCAGAGATAGGGCGTTGCTCCCACTCCAGCCTGGGGTCCAGAGAAACAGCCGAAGTGGTTATTATCCCAATTTCCCTTTCCCAGCCATGGCCTGCTACCCTGAGGACAGAGATGAGGAGCCCCCTTCCCATTTTCTAGGCTGTGAACCCTGATCTAGGCCTGGCTGAGGAGCTGGGGATCCCCTGATTCCTCCTCTCAATGGTCCTATTCCAGTTCCCTACAAGGATGGGGTAAGGGCGTTTCACTGGCATCCTCTGCCAGGACCCCAAGGTTGGAATTCTGGGGAAAGGGTCAGTGTGGTGTCTTGCCTGGCCAAGACTGGCCAGTCAGGTCTGAAAGGGCCTGGAGATCAGACTTGGGGATGATCCCTTCCTCAGTAGGGGGGTGGGCAGCGAGCATCTGTTCCCAGATTAAAATAAATTGAGGTAAATTAAGATCTTGCTGGAGGCTGACTGTGAGTGGGGTGTGGAGGAGGCTTGGGGGTGGGCAGCCCCTCCATCTGCCTCAGATCTTGGGAGTTGCCTGCCCCAGCCGCAGTGGAGACCATGAGGTGGCTTCAAAGGGACCTGCCTCACCAGTGACCTTGGGCAGGTGACTGTAATCCCTGAGCCTCAGTTTCCCTGTTTGGAAATGGGGTTGGAGGCTTTGGAGCCTGTGCTCTACGTTTCTGAAACCCATTCATCTCATCCATTGCCAGATTGTGATTCTACCCTTCTGCTTAAGATGTTGGAGGTTTGGGGATGAGAGAGCAGTGAGTTTAGAGGCACCCCCATGTGACTTGGTGGTCTCTGAGCCTTAGTTTACTGCACTGCAAAATGGGTTGATGGTTGCATCTAGGCATTGCTGGAAGGGCCAACCATAAAACATGTTATCAAGCTGCAGTTGTAGGAACAGGGCCTCTGACACCCTGGCCTCACCGGTGGGGCTGCCCAGGGCACACCCTGACCCACATACCATCACCCACGCCAGGGGCGAGCCAGTTCTTGGGCGGGGTCCTGGGCAGGAGATGGGAGAGGTGCCAGGGCAGCCCATCACCTGTCCCTTGGCGCTCTGTCCTGAGAGCATGTGTAGGGTTGAACCTTCAGTCGGGAGTCAGATGCCCCCAGGTTCAAATGTGGCTTCCCCCGTGTGTGTGGCTTTGCCCTCTGTGCCTTGGTATTTCCTTTTGTGGAATGGACTGTATCCCTCTCTCAGAGGATCAGAGAACACTGTGGGAGGCTGGGAGTGCTGTAAATGCAGACATAATCATTATAATACTAATTGTGATATTAACGATCATAAATGGGGTCACAGCTGCTTGGGAGAGGGGCGAACAAAGGGGAGTTTGCCAGGGTGTTGTCTGCTGTGTTTTTAGAACCTAGACTCATGTATACATTTGGTGCTCAATGGGTGTTTGCCAAATGAAGTGACAAAGAGCCAGGGAAGCAGTGAGGAGGACTGAAAAATTTCTGCACTCAAATGCCCACTCAGCAGCCCAGGTGCCGCATTACATGGGCCCATACCTCAGTTTCCCTACTGAGGTAATGACTGAGATGAGACACAGCTTCCAGGTGCCGTTTTGATAACCAAGCCAGTCACACGCGTGGTCCCAGCCCTGGTGTTGAGGCCTAAAGGGGAGGAAAGGCCTGACAGAGCCAATCACTGAATCAGAGTGGTACCCGGCAGGCAGAGTAGTTGGTTACTGGAAAGGAAGAGAGAAAAGCCCCTACGTGGACTGTACTATGTGCAAACTGCAGTCCAGCAGGGAGCAAAATGTCAGATCCTATTTTATAGGACCCTGGAGACTCAGAGGTCAGGGACAGTCCAAGGTCACCCAGCAAGAGGTCAGGGGTGCTGGGGACCCTGCCATGTGAAGAGCAGAACCCTTCTTTGCTGACTTGGTTCCTGTGCTGTTTCGTCTGCTCCTGGGCCTGTCCACACACTCTCACACCCCCTCAGAGGTCCAGGGTTTGGGAAACTGGTGCTTACGTGGTAGGATGTATCTCCAGGTGGTGCCCAGAGCTCATGTCAGAACCCCCTTGGGAAGGACTCTGTTCCCCACTTACAGCAACCCGAGGATGGGGCCTTCCAGGTCAGCCAGCAACCTGCTGTGTGACATTGGTCAGGTCCTTCTCTGGGCTTTGCCTGGGTGCTGCAGAGGCCAGGAGACCTGGTTCAAGACAAGTTGACTTGCCCATCAGATGCAGTGACTACTCTGTCTGAGGCACAAAATTTCTGGGGCCTGTGATGATGTTTTAACTTCCTTTAAACTCAGAAGGGGAAAAAAATGAGCTTTAGGACAAAGAAAACATATTCATATGTAACATTAATATATTTGTCTCCATGCCAGTGCAGTTGTAAAACAGGGTTTATATTCTTTTGTTAATGGAGCAAGGAGCCCACAAAGGCAATATTTATTGCCTCAGGGTCCATGAAAATGCTAATGCAGCCCTGGATTTGAGTCTCAGCATTGCTGATATTTGCTGTGCAATCTTGGTATTTAGGCTAACCTCTCTGAGCCTCAGTTTCACCCTCTGTGAAGCAGGCATCATTGCTACACCTTGGATGGCGAGATGTGGAATGCTTACTTACCCAGGCTTGGTGCTTAATTTATGGGTGTATTATTTCACAATTGTTGTTGTGCATTTTATGCTCAGTAATAATTGCCCCAGACTGGAGGCACCAAGTCAGGGGCCTCAGTTTACCCACCTGAGGCCAGTGGGATTCCAGGCAGGCCCCAGGGTTGCTGGTCTGGGAGGGGACTTAAGGTGACGGTTGGGTAGTGGGCGGGGCGGGATGAGCTTCCTGTCCCGACACAGTAGGGCCTCTGCGTGGTGCTGACGGAAGTGGCAGGCTTGTGGCTGTCTGCTGGCACAGCCTGTCTCACTGGGGCCCCAGCCACACCCGCTGCCCTCTCTGGTGAGTTCAGGTTATGGCCCTGGAGCCCCTCTTCAACCCCCTTGAGAGAAGGAAGGCCTATCTGCCCCCTGTGGCTCTGGGAGAAGCAGCAGATGTCACTTCCTGGGCTGGGCCTGTACCTGCGTGAGGGCCCCCTTCCTCACTGCCTTCCTGCTCCCCATTATAGTAGGGCTGTAGATGGAACTTGGAGATCCAGAGCCATATATGTTTGTTCTGTGCTGGAGTTCTTTGACAGGTCAGGGATAAAATCTCACGGGCCTGGGGGCAACAACTGACAGCTCTGTGCCTCAGTTTCCCTATTTGTACAGTTGGGGTTGAGCCTCATGGTGTGATTGTAGAGGCTGAATGAACTGGTACCTGTAAGAGCTGGGCATACACATGGCACTTGGTGTATGTGTGGGGAAGGGGCCATTTACTCAGAGTTGTAAAAACAATAGCGAGATTCCTGGTTTCTGGGGAACTTGGACCCAGTGGCTCTTAAATCATCTAGCAAGCACTGTCTAGCAGAACTTTATCTGTGCTACACAAGGCGGCAGCCACCAGCCCCATGTGGCCACTGAGTCCTGATAACAAGGCTAGCACATGGAGAAGCTGGGGTTTAATTGCAGAGAGCTTTAAAATTAAGTTACCATTTGGAGCTCATGGTTCCCATGTTGGTCAGTACCCCTCTAAGGGATCTGGACTATTGTCTAGGTCATGGCCAGAACCTAAGGAATGAATGGGAATTCAGGCCTTTTCCTCCTTGAGATATCAACCTCCTATGCCCTCTGCCAGACTGGGTTTTCTCAGAGGCCCCAGCTTTGCCCAGTACAGAGTGGTGGTTGGCAATATTTGCTGATATAAATTCTTGCCTGTTAAACGCCTGTTTGTGCTTGGAAACCCCAGTTCCCATGCCCCCTTCTTCACTCCAGAATCCCCCAGCCCTCATTCCTTCACGTGGCCCAGACTGGACCCTACAGGACTGGGATGTCACATCCAGCTCCGTTCCCCCTGGATAGGGGTCCCTCGGGCACCAGACCCGAGGCTGAATCATCTCATGGGACTTGGCATTGTCCTCGCCTGGGTGGGCTAATAGGTGCTACATGATTCACAGAAATCAAGGGAGTAGGGGAATAGATGATCATTGGTCAAATTAAACTCACTTTCAAGATCAGATAAACTGAGGATCAATGAGGGGCAGCCATGCCAAGGTCCTTGCTCAGGCCTTCCTGGGGAAGCCTGGGAGCTTTCCCATCCTGTGGTCCCTGCTGCCACTGCACCTCCCGGGCTCCCAGCTGCTGCTGAGCTACCAGCGGGGTCATGAATTATGGATGAGGCCTGCAGGCTCCAGTGACAAACCCGGCCTCGAGAACATGCCAAGGACACTGAGTGTCCCTCCCATGCCCAGAAACTTGGCCCAGCACCTACTGCAGGGAGACCTGGGGGTCCCTAGAAAGACCCTTTCTAGCCGCTTTTCTTGTTTTGATAGTGGGGAAACTGAGACACCGAACTAGACAGTGACTCAGATACCATGTGAATGCTGGCTTCTGGGGTTCAGGGTTATGACTCATGGGGACACAAGTGCTGGTTGGGTCACCATGGTGAGGGGTGAGCTCTCCACCCTAGGAGTATGCATGAAATGGAAACCATTGTAGAGGTACTAGGGAGACCTCAAGGGACCCTCATGGATCCAACCCCCATGTGGCTGATCACACTGATCACAGCCAGTGTCACTATCTCACCATCTCCTTTTCCCCCAGGAGCTGCCCAGCGTGGACTTGAGTGCTCAGTCTGGACTCAGCTGGTCCAGGGTGCAAATCCACTGTCACTTCCTAGCTGTGTGTTCTTGGCAAGTGGATTCCCCTCTGGGGAAGCTGGGCTTAGTTTTCCCATCTGTGAAATGGCCCAGAGCTTTTCCACCCAGGCTGGGCTCATCCAGTACCCCCAGCCCATGAATTCCTATTTGTCTTTAAAACCCCACCTCTCTTGTCCCTTCCCCTGGTCAAGATTCCCTTAGCCCCTCTCCCTCCATCTGGTCTAGCTCTGTCCACATAGACTGGGGACTACTTGGGGCCAGACCCAGACCTAAGATGTTAGGGTTCTGGCATGCTCCCAGCATGGGATTTGGCTCCTCTTTTGTCCTTCCTCTCCCTCCTCCACAGGAGGACAGTTGGAATTTCCCCTCCTCAGGCCTGCGTGGGCCATTACTCTGTAGCTCAACCTTGCCTCTCTCTTTAGACAGGCATTAGACAGGAGCCTATAGGCGACTCCACCAAGGCCATCAGGATGTCGTACTTTGGGGAACATTTTTGGGTAAGTAATACCCCTCTTATTTTGGTAAGGGCTCCTGGCAGAACTGTGGGGACTTTTATGGAGATGGGGGACCTGACAACTTGTGGGCAGCATCTTTGGCAGGTGAAGATTTGCAGAGGGTAGAAATTAAAGTGTGAGGAGTCAGGCTGGATTTGAATCTATACGCCCCTTATCCCTCATGGGTCTGTGACTTTGGCAAGAAACAGCTTGAAAGGATAGGGACAGTTGAGACCCAAAGTAAGAATCTTTTATCTAAAGTCACCCAGTGGGAAAGTGGAGTCAGAGTTCAAATCCAGGGTCAGACTGGGTTTGGTCCCAGGATCCAGGCCATTCCAGCTAGGTAATTTCTCATCTTTCCCATCCTGGAGAATTGGGGGATTTTCTTAACTGACCCCTCAACCCTCTATCCTCTGGGCTGGACCACATAATGTGACTGAAGCAGGGCTGGGGGTGGGGGGTATCCTGAATGAGACAGCCTTATTTTGATTCATTAGTTCACTCCCTCCCTACCACCCCATGCCCAGACAACTCTGGCAGATGATAGGGTCCCCAAGAGACTCTCTCCACCGTGATGCCAAGGAACCTCCAGTCTGGGGGACACAGAGTTGATCAGATATCTCCAGCCCTACTGAGGGTTGAGCCTAGTCTTGGGGGCACCTGGTAAAGGAACCAAGACACAGATCCTTGTTTGCCTTGGACTTTGAAGGCTGAGATTTCCCAGGATATAAGAAAGGCATTCCACGGAAGGGGAACAGCCTGGGCAAGGCTCAGAGGTATAACAGTGAGGACACAGGACTCCACCTGAGGGGACAGGCTAGTGGAGAGCCACAGAGGATGTGTGAACAGGAGAGTGGGGGAAGGACCAGGGAAGAAAGCCCCTTCCCCATATGCAGGCCCTAAGCTTGCTAAGAGGAAGCCCCGTTGCTGGGCAACTGGTTGTCCTTGGCAACAGGCCCCATTCCCTCCCTTTTACCCTCCCCAGCTGGGGTTTCTCTAACTGGCACTCACTTTCTTAAAGGGGCCATACCCTCCTGCCACCCTGCAGGAGAACTGACCTGGCCTACTCCCAGGGGTCAGATTCTCTGGATTTGCTTCTGAATGGCTGTTTGACCCCCAGGGAGGGGCTGTCCCTTTCTGCCCCTATTGGTACCTCTTTGTAAAGGGGGTGATGGTTTAAGGATCAGTCTACCCATGTTTTTTTGGAACCCTGACAGCAGCACCTACATTAATTTTAAATTTCTTTTAATGGCATGAGGCACCTACATTTATTTTAAATTCTTTATAATTGCATGAGGCATGCAAGCTCACTGCAAAAAATTCAGATTAGCAAAGAGAAAATAGAAACCACCCTCAACCCACCCCCCACCCAAAGATAGCCTAGTGCAGAGTGGATAAGGGTTCTGAGTTTGGGATTTGAATTCGGCTCTGCTTGGGAGTTCTTGGACAGGCACTTTGCATCTCCAAGCCTCAGTTTCCCCATCTGGGAGAGGGTGATGAAATTTGAGGGAGTGCCCCTAGGATATGTTTCTTTTAATCAGTGCTTCTTTTCGTCCGATATTTGTATCAGTGGCTCTTTGCTAGGTGATACTGAGATCCTGGCTGGCCTGAAGGAGGTTTCAGTCACCAGAGATCAAGCCAGGACAAGGACAATTCCCCGCCACCCTGTTAGGCCAGCGGGGGACTAGAGGAATATAGGGCATTAGGGGGCCATGGAGGAAGTGAAGCAGGAGATGGATTTAAGCAAGTTGTATTAGAAATATCCCTCTGGGGCTGGCATTGGGTCAAGGTGGGAGCCCAGAGGTTCTGATAGAAGACACAGGCCTGAGACAGCCCCTCTTGGGACCCTCAGCTGCCAGCCTGGCTTGAGGAAGGCAGACACTGCTGGGGGCTTTGCCAGGTCTGGGAAACCATCCAGCAGTTGGCTCTGCGTCAGCCCCAGATGCTGGCCTGGGCAGCGGTGCCTGGTGCAGCCTCACCCGAGGATCCCCTGGGCAGAGTAGGGTGAGCAGGGCGCTGCTGGAGCTATATGCTGTGCCCTTGACTCTGCACAGGAGGCCCCAGGTCCAGCTCAATTCCAGTCTCATTTCACTAAGAACCTTAGTTATTGTCTTGAACCCATTTGTCAGATGAGGAAACAGAGGTGAGGTCACTGACTCAAAGTGACCCAGTGCATAAAAGGAGTTGGTGCTTAAACCTTGAAGCCAGGCTCCAGACACGAGAAGCAAGAAATTATATTTCTGGGGAGCTGGAGGGGGCAACAGTGAACATATATTCAGAGGAAGGCGACTCTGACAAGTTTCTGTGGGAGGTGGCCTGGCAATGATCCTTGAGACATGGAAGGATTTGGGTGAATAGAAAGATACAGATTGGTGAGTCAGGTGGTGGGAATTGCCAGGGCAAACATACCAATGTGGGCAGGCATAGCATTGTCTTTGTGCTGTCTATCTCTTCACTGTCAAGGCCAGGAGGCAGATGGGAGATGAGACTGGAAAGGCAGTTCCAGGCTGGGACTTTGAACTTAAGCTGGTGGGCAATAGGGAGCCACTGATGATTCTAGAATGAGGAACGGCTGTCAGGAGATTTGGGTTCATACCACAGTGGGTCTGCTCTAATTTTGTTTTTCTGTTCATGAAGCAAGAAGGAATTATCTGGCAGTGACTTTTGTCTTTATTCTTAAGGCTTCCAGGTGAGAGGGAGGTGAGCCCCATAAGTTGGCGGAAGATGAAGGAAACCACCATTTATGGGGGACTACTAAGCACTGCCAAAGAGATAGCTTCACTAATTTGTGCTGAGAATTAAATTACATGAAATACTTCCCTCTGTGAGCCTCCCCTTTCAGTCCCAACTATAAAGCCTTCTGCGGTACTAAAGTGTCTCAAGTCTCTCAGACCCCAGCTGACTGCCTGTTTTAAGTGTTGAGACATGATGCCCTCCTTAGATAGGATCTGGCCAGCATTAAAATATAGTCATTGTCATATTTTTTCCTGTTTTCCTTCATTACGGCAAGGGGTCCTGATTTTTCATTTAGCATAATGGTAAAAGTTGCACTCCTAAGTAAATGTGTTTGGAGATTACACATGAGCAAACTTAAAGGAAAATTTTAAGTGACTCATACCACAAATTAGTGAAAAGTAAGGTAGTCTTTGGGGCTTTGGGGACCCATGATGTGGATCATCTGATGTTTACTTAACCCCATATGAGAGGTAGATGACTCCTTAACCTCATCTTAATGAGGAGCCACTGAAGATTTAGAGAGGGACAGTGACTTCCTGGCTCACAAAACATAGCCCTGGCCTCCCCTGCCAGGGTAACCCCAGAATTGGGAGGAAAGGTTGCAAAGAAAGGTGTCAGACCCAGACCTAATTTGGTGGGGTCTCAGAAGTGAAGTTCCCGTGTTGAGTAGAACAGACAACATGACTACATTGACTAAAACAACAGAAGTTATATTGGTTCACAAAAGTGAAAAGTTGTGTGGTAATGCAGCTTTCAAGACTGGTTTGATCCAGCAATTTCACTCAACATACTTAAATTTTGGGCTCTCTCAGATTCAACTTCTTTGAAAGTTCATAGTTCCCACTTGGCTTCAGTTAACCCCTGTAACCACATGAGTCCTTATTTATGGAAAGATGCAAACAAAGAATAGAGGGGGAGAGACTGAGGGAGACAGGCAGAAAGACACAGAGAAAGAGAGAAAGACAGAGACACAAAGACAGATAAAAATGGAGAGAGACAGTTTGTAAATGAGAATGTCTCTCCCTGTACTATGGAACAAAAAGTCCAGGCTTTTTTCTGATTGGACCAACATAAGATTTATGAACCAATCCTTGTGACCAGAAGGAAATGCAACAAGCTGATTGGCTTCAGATTGAACCAATCCTACAAGGGAATAGACTTCTGCTGGTATGCCATGACACCCTCTTCTTCCCCTTTCTGAATCTTTACCCTCCCTCATCCTCTACAGGGGGAGAAGAACCATGGCTTTGAGGTCTTGTACCACAGTGTGAAGCAGGGGCCCATCTCCACCAAAGAGCTGGCCGACTTCATCAGGGAGAGGTGAGGTTCCCACAACCCACCCACACCGCTCATCCATGCTTTCACATCTCATGGCCACAACCTGGCTCTTGCTACCTCTTCCACTGCCTGCCCTGGGACTATATCAGATCCAGGTTTCAGGGGCCTCCAGGAACAAAACAGACTTGATGACCCTTGGAACCAGAGGCTCTCAACACTGTTAGCTTCATGGCCCCTTATAATCATTAATCCCCAGGGTTCTAATGCCACCTTCTTTTTTTTTTAAAGATTTATTTATTTATGCATACAAGAACTGGGGTACAGGCCAGAGGTGTGGGGCGGGGGTGGGGTGTGTGTGTGAGAGGTTCACCAGAGATAGAGTGGGGATCAGAACAGGCGGAATGACTGAAATACACTCCTGAGGGGAGCAGGGGTGAGTCAGGAGAGGTCTGCTGCACCATGTGGGTAACTTCCTGGCTGGGGATCGAACTTGTGTTGCAGTGGCTGCGGATAGCCTCATAGATGGCATCTTAACCCCTTGCACCACCAGGGAGGCCCTAATACCTCCTTCTAAAGAGATGATAATATAACCAATTTAACAAGGGGAATTTTGAAAAACAATCTGCTACCCCCTGAGTATGATGCAAGAAAACCTAAGTATGATGAAATAGTTTCTATTTCAACTAGTAGATGCTCAGACATCCATATTCCAGTAAACATAATAAACTTGAATTGCAAAGCAGCTTCCTGCCCCCTCAACACTCAGCAACTGAATGTCCATTAAATTTGTGCAGAAAGTCCAGAGGATTACAACTAGGATTTTTCTCTTTCTGGCTGTGAAGCAGAAAGAGTCTGAGCCATCTGTGACATGGCAGCTCTTTATTTTGTGGACCTTCAGCACTTAGATCCATTCAAGTTTCCCTTGTGGTACCCACAAATGCCTCTATTAAAAACACTCCCATGGTGGACCTCCCTGGTGGTGCCAGGGGGTAAGTCTCAGCACTGTGAAGCTCTCAGCAGCCACTGCAGCACGAGTTGGATCCCCGATCCCAGCCCAGGGAGCTACCCACAAGGCGCAGCAGACCTCTCCTGTCTCACCCGCTGCTCCCCTCAGCAGTGTATTTCAGTACATCTGCCTAATCTGCTCCCCACTCTGCCTCTCGTGTGCCCACCCCCCACACCTCTGGCCTATACCCCAGCTCTTGTATGCATAAATAAATAAATCTTTTTAAAAAGAAAAAACATCCCCATGGATATTTGGTTTGAACTGGGACTTTTGCTTCTGCAAACAAAATTGAGCTTCTTCTGGTCAAGACGAAATTGTGAGTGGATATTAAATAGTCATTTAGCAGTGTCTGTCCAAAAGGAAAACATGAGTTTATCTTCTACAAGTATATGAGATAATGCGTGTACAGCATTTAGCACAGCTTCTACCTTTATACCGTGTGCTCAGATTCTTTTACCTGCTGCTGCTGCTGCTACTGCTGTTGCTAATAAAACATATCACTTAAGGAAAAATCCTTTCCCATGAATTTCCAAAACGCCTCCCTCTAGTCGGACTCCTCATTGAGAGCCATTACTCAGATGTTTGAGATGGAAAAACTAAGTGGGAGGGGGCGGTGAGGTCACATACTCTCTCCCAAGGGTGCCTAGAACCTTCTACATCTTTTCCCTATCCTCCTATCCAGGGCCACCATTGAGGAGACCTACTCGAAGGCAATGGCAAAACTTTCCAAGCTGGCCAGCAATGGGACCCCCATGGGGTGAGTGGACCATGGATGGGGCAGGAGGTTCATCAAGATTTCAGGGCCAGAGAGGCATTGGGAGACTGCTCTTGGATGTCTTCATGCACCTGATTTGGGGGCTACTTAGAAAGAGGAAGGTATATCATTCATTCATACTCTAGTTTATTCATTCATTCAAGAAATATTTACTGAGCACCTAGTATGTGCCAGGCACTGTTCTAGGCACCAGGAACCTACCAGCAATCTAGACAGATAAAACCCCCATGACCTTCTTGCTGTGTTTATGTCATGTACATGTGGGATGTGTAATGAGACAGATGTGCAAAGTGTTAGGAAGGGAAATGAAATCGGAGTGTCAAAGGCAGGTGTTTCCTCTTTCGTGAGCCAAGACCTCAATAACAAGAAGGAGCCCATGTTTAGGGGCAGAGACCCAGGTGGGCAGCTCAGTACGAAAGCCCTGAGGCAGCTGTGACTTGATATGTTCAAGGAAGACCCAAAAGGAAAACATAAAAGAAGGGCCTGAGGGAGGTAGAGATGAGGGATGGGAGCACATTGAAGGGGAGGTGTCACAGGATCCTGACACAGGTGACTTTTAAACCAAGTTGTGATATGGGCCTGTAGGCATCTTCAAAGTTTCCTGTAACTGCGTGGAACAAAACTTTTGCTGAGGCAGAAATGGAGGCAGCAGGGAGGAAAGTTGGGGGAGTGGTCAGAGCGGGCAGGGGACTTCTGATGTAGGAAGGCCCCACAAACATGGTTTGGGCAAGTTGAGTCTTGGGTGCCAGTGAATATCAGGTAGGACCTGGAGTCCAGAGTAAGGACTGTGGGAACTCAGGGCTGGTTTTGAATTCCAACTCTGATGTTCATTTGCTGAGAGGCCTTGGGTGAGTTTCAAAGCCTCCTGTGCCTCAGTTTCCCCAACTGTCCTAGGCCAGTCTTGTAAGGTTTCAGTGGAGGGTGAAGAGTTAATATGTGTAATGTTTTGCAGGGCCTGGTGCACAGTAGGTGCCTGGGACAATTCCAGGCATTCTCTCTGAGGGGATCCCAAGGGGTTGGGTCTGTTGGACCCTAGGTATGACTCCACCTATCCCCAGGACCTTTGCCCCACTCTGGGAGGTCTTTCGCGTCTCCTCGGACAAGCTGGCACTCTGTCATCTGGAGCTGACCCGGAAACTGCAGGACCTCATCAAGGATATACTCCGTTATGGGGAGGAGCAGCTTAAGACCCACAAGAAGGTGTGTGCATGGATATATTGGGCAGGAGATGCTAGGAGATGAAGGAACCCAGATCTTCTGGGGCTCTGGAACCTCTAGTCTTTGGTGTGTACTGAGAACTCCAGTAAATCCATAACCTCAAACCCAGAATTTCACATACCTGAGCATTGTCAGATCTCTGGAATTTAAATTCCACCTCCGAGCATTCCCGAGAGCAAAAGAATTTCTGGAATTTAAATTGCAGTTCTCAGCATTCTAGAGCATCAGTATTCTAGGCTATGGTCTACACAACACAGCCCACCAGCCAAACCAGTCTACTACCTGTTTTTGTACAGCCCATGAACTAAGAATGATGTTTACATTTTTTAATGGTTGGAGAAAATATCCAAAAAAGGATAATATTTCATGAAATCTGGTACTTAGATTTCAGATTTCAATACCAGTAAATAAAGGTTCATTGGTGCACAGACACGCCTATTGGTGTACCTATTGTCTGTGGCTATTTTTTGAGTTGCAACAGTGAGTTTATTGTTTGTAACAAGTCAAACACATTTCCCTCTACGGAAAAAATTTACTGACCTCTAACCCAGAGCTTAGAAGTTACAGATCTTGTTATTCAACATTTCTATAACTTTAGACTTATAAACCTAGAATCATGGAATGCTCATGCCTCAAACTCTCAGGACCCTAGAATGTTCAAAGCTTATAGTTCTAGAGACATAGATTCTTTGAATTTACAGTGCCCTAGAATCTGCAGTTTTAAACCTCCATTGAAAAAGGGAATTGGGGAAGGGGGTGCTTCCTGGTGACACAAGGGGTTAAGACACAGCACTGTGAAGCTATCAGCAGCCACTGCAGCACAAGTTCTATCCCTGGCCAGGAAGGTGACCCACATGGCACAGCAGACCTCTCCTGTCTTGCCTGCTGCTCCTCTCTGCAGTGTATTTCAGCAGATCTGCCTGTTCTGCTCCCTACTCTGTCTTTGGTGAATCCTCTCACCACCACCCGCCGCATCTCTGGCCTGCACCCCAGCTCTTGTTTGCATAAATAAATCTTTTAAAAAGAAAAAGGGAATTGGGGACTGATAACAGGTTCATGGTAAAGAGCTACTATCGTTTTTCCCCTTTAATCTACAACTGTAAACATTTAAAACTCAAAACCTCCGGTCTGCTAATCATGCTGGAAAACAGAGAGACCAATGAATATGTGTGTCTAAAGGCCATGCAGGTGGTAGAGCAAGGGCAAGGGAGATGGCAAGGCCACCAGCCCTATCCACAGACCAGATCGGGGGGAGGCCAGAAACAGTGTGGACAACCACACTTTTCACCCCAGTGAGACACAGTGAAGGAGGAAAGGCTCACTAAGCAAGCAAGACCTAGGGAGGTTGGCCAAGGCAAGTGTGTGGGACTTGACAGGGTCCAACCCTGACAGGGTAGCAGTGACAAAGACTTCATGCACAGGACAAGACAGGTCCAGGTTCACAGTGGAAGGAGCAGCAAAGTGACTATGTTCTCAGGTCTGGCCCTTCCCACCATGTCCCTGTTACAGAAAAGAGAAACAAAGAGAAACCTGAAACTAACATGTGGATTGCTGGGGAAAAGAAGAAAAGATTTCTGTTTATTATTACAGTCATGTGTTGCTTAACACCATTTTAGTCAACAATGGACTGAATATATGATGGTGGTTCAATAGATTCTACCATGCCAAGGTGTATAGTAGGCTACACCATCCAGATTTGTGTAATTATACTCTATGTTATTCACAACAATGAAATCACCTAATAATACAGTCTCAGACATATCCCCATCGTTAAGTGATACATGACTGTATATAACCCAAATACACAGAGAAGCACACCAGCAAGTCAGAGATGAAAAATCGTTCAATACAGAATTACAGATTTCTAGAAGTCAAACTTCAAGACATAGAATTTTGAGTTCTAATCGACAGATAATTGCGTTTCATGAAGAAATTCAATGAACTACAATAAAACATCAAACAGCAACTTAATGGTCTCAGGAAGGAAATTTAAGGAGAAGAAAAAGTACTTCACCAAAGTGATTGATTCAAGATATGAAGAAACTCTTGATATGATGAATTTAATAAATGAAATGACTGTATGGAAAGCTTGGAAAGTAGGATAGGTCTTAAGGAGAAAAGTGTTGGTAAAATTGTATAAAATAGGGCCTCCCTGGTGGCGCAGCGGTTGAGCACTGGGTTGCAAAGCTGCCTGCAGCCTCTGCAGCGCCGGTTCGATCCCCGGCTGCTCCCCAGCCACCGGAGGAGGGTCCCACATGGCGCGCAGACCTCTCCTGCTGCCCGCTGCTCCCCTCAGCAGTGTACTTCGGTCCTTCTGCCTGCTCTGCTCCCTGCTCTGGCGCTGGTGAATTCTCTCATCCACCCTGCGCTTCTGACTGTGTCCAGTGCTTGTATAAATAAATCTTTAAATAAATAAATAAACCCTGCTAGCTTTAAAAAAAATGTATAAAATAGAAATATAGAAATGACTCAAGTAGAAGATGATAAATAAGATTTAGAAAAAATGAAGAAACTATGAGAACCATCAGATTCTATTAGGAAAGGAAACATAAGGATAATGAATATCCAGGAAGGTAAAGAGAGGGAGAGGGGAATAGAGGGATTAATAACTTATACTTCCCAAATCTGGGGAAAAGACTTAAAGTCTATGAAGCAAACAGAACACCTAACTATATCATTGCAAAAAGATCACACCAGGGCCTCCCTGGTAGCCTAGGGGTTAAGTCTCAACTATCACCACAACGGCCTAAGTTCAATCCTAAGCCAGAGACCCATGCATGGTGCAGCAGACCTCTCCTGTCTCTCCTGCTGCTCACCTTAGCAGTGTATTTCAGGAAATCTGCCTTTCCTGCTCCCCACTCTGTCTCTGGTGAATCCTCTCACCTGCCCCACACCTCTGGCCTACACTCCATTCTTCTATGCAAAAAAACCCACAAAAGACCACATCAAAGCAATAGTAATAAAATTATCAAAAGTCAACAATTAAACAATAAAAATTTCTAGAGGAAAACAAATACATAACCCACAAAAGCAACTCCATCCACCTATCATTGATTTCTTAGCAGAAACTCTACAGGTCAGAAGAAAGTGACATGACATGTTCAAAATACTAAAAGATAAAAACTACCAGTTAGGAATACTCTACTTCATAAAATTATAATTCAAATATGATGGAGAAATAAAGGTTTTCCCAGACAAAAGCTAATGGAGCTCACCACCTGCCTTGCAAGAAATTATTTTTTAATTAATTAATTAATTAATTAATTTATGCATACAAGAACTGGGGTGTAGGCCAGAGGTGCAGGGGTTAAGAGGATTCACCAGAGACAGAGTGGGGAGCAGAATAGGCAGATCTACTGAAATACACTGCTGAGAGGAGCAGTGCAAGACAGAATTGGTCTGCTGTGCCATGTGGGTTAGCTCCCTAGTAGGGGATCAAACTCATGTTGCAGTGACTAGGGTAATTTGATAGTGCTGAGACTTTAGGCCCTGCATCACCAGGGAGGTCCCCTTACTAGAAATTCTTATACGTGGAAAGAAATTCTTATACTTAGAAAGAAAAAGCGAAAGTACCCTTCAGAAAGATGAAAATAGAAAGAAAGACAGAATTAGAAGTTTGCAACTATATTGCAGAATAAGGTGTAAAATAGTTAATTATAGCACAAAAGGTAAAAGGAAAGGAACATTAAAAACAATATAGTTTCTTCAACTTAACAATGAATCTGCAGTATAAAAGGGAATAAATGAGATAACAAAAAAGCTTTAAAGAGGAAGATGAAAAGGGGCCTCCCTGGTGGCGCAAGAGTTAAGCACAGCACTGGGAAGTTATCCGGAAGCCTCTGCAGCACGAGTTCGATCCCCGGCCAGCCAGGGAGCAACCCACATGGCACAGCAGACTCTCCTGACTAGCCCGCTGCTCCCCTCAGCAGTGATTTTCAGTCAATCTGCCTGTTCTGCTCCCCATTCTGTCGCTGGTGAATCCTCTCACCCCCCACAACTCTGGCCTGTACCCTAGTTCTTGTATGCATAAATAAGTTAATCTTTAAAAAAAAAGAGGAAGATGAAAAAGACAGAATCTATACAGGCAAATGATGACAGGATGATGCCAGCACAATAAAAGAGTATCTAAATTTTTATTCATGGTAGCCACACACACACACACACACACACACACACACACACACACACACAAATCTGGAGCAGAGACATAAAGGATAAAAAAGGAACTGGGAATCACTGTGGAAAACTTTCCAAATATAATAGCAGTGGAAACACAAGGAAAAAAACAGCCAGACTGTGGAACAACCAAAAAATAAAAGATAAAATGACAGTAGTAAATCCTTATGTATCAGTAATCACTCATGTGTGAATGAACTAAACTCACCAATCAAAAAGGCACGGAGTGACTGTGTGGAATGAAAAATAGGACCCAACTCTTTTCTTACAGGAGACTCATATCCATTCTTTTTTTTTTAAGATTTATTTATTTTTATACAAGAACCGGGGTACAGGCCAGATGCGCAAGAGGGTGAGAGGATTCACCAGAGACAGAGAGGGGAGCAGAACAGGCAGACTGACAAAATACACTGCTGAGGGGATCATATCCATTCTAAAGACCAATTCATAGTAAAAGGGTGGAGAAAAATATATCAAGCAGACAATAAAGAATAAAAGCAAAACTGCTATAATCACATCAAATAAAATAGACCTTCAGCAAAAAGAAAGCAATTTAAAAAAAGATGGATACTATATAGTGATAATGGGATTAATCCATGAAGAAGATATAATATATATGCTCCCAACATAGGAGCACTATGTAAACAAATATTAACATGCTTAAAGAGGGAAATAGATAGCAACACAATAATAGTAGGGGACTTTGACAGCCCAGTGTATTCAATGTACAAATCATCCAGATAGAAATTTAACAAGGAAACAATAGCCTTGAATGACACATTCAATTGGACATAATAGACATACACAGAACTTGTCCTTCAGAAGCATCAGGATACACATTCTTCTGAAATGCACATGAAACGTTCTCAAGGATAGATCAAATGTTTGGATACAAAAAAGTCTCAATAAATTTATAAGGATTGAAATTATAACAAGCATATTTTCTGATCATAATGCTATGAAACTAGAAATGAACCATAAGAGGAAAGCTAAAAAAAAATGTGGAGACTAAAACATGTTCCTGAATGACTATTACATCAATGAGGAAATCAAAGGAGAAATTAAAAAAAAAACCTGGAGACAAATGAAAAATGAAGAGTGACCTTCTAGAACCTATGGTATACACCCAAATGCTACTGAATTGCTGATGGTATATAATAATTCAGGCCTACCTCAAATAAGAAAATGCTCAAATAAACGATCTAAACTTACACTTAAAGGAACTAGAAAAAGAAAAGCAAAAAGCTGTAGAAGGGTGAACAAAATTGGATGGAAATAAATGAAATAGACAAAAAAAGAAAATACCAAAGATCAGTGAAACCAAGAGTTGGTTCATTGAAAAGATTTAAAAAATTGACAAATCTTTAGTGATACACACTAAGCAAAAAGCTCATGAAAATAAAATCAGAAATGAGAGAGAAGGAATTACAACAAATACCAAAGAAATACAGGGCCTCCCCGGTGGCGCAGCGGTTGAGCGCTGGGTTGCGAAGCTGCCCGCAGCCTCTGCGCTGCCGGTTTGATCCCCAGCTGCTCCCCGGCCACCGGAGGAGGGTCCCGCATGGCGCGCAGACCTCTCCTGCCGCCCGCTGCTCCCCTCAGCAGTGTACTTAGGTCCTTCTGCCTGCTCTGCTCCCCGCTCTGGCTCTGGTGAATTCTCTCACCCTCCTGCGCTTCTGACTGTACCCAGTGCTTGTATAAATAAATAAATAAATCTTAAAAAAATAAAAAAGAGTTAGTAATGGTCTTGAGGTGAGAATATACCAGGTATAATTAGGAACAGTGAGAAGACCAATATGGTTTAGAAAAAAGAAAGAAAAGAAAAGAAATACAAAGGACCATAAGAGACTACTATACCATATACATATGCCAAATTGGACAATCTACAAGAAATGGATAACTGAGATGAGAAAGCATACATTGTAAAAAAAAAAAAAAAGAAATGAACAATGTAAAAAAATATATAAATATATATATACAAAATAAAAATATATATTATGAAAAGAAAAAAAAAGCCTCATCCTAACCCCCTCCCCCAAAAAAAGTCTGGGACTAGACAGTTTCACTGGTGAAATCTATTAAACTTTCAAGGGAGATCTAATACACATCCTTCACAAAAATTGGAGAAATGGGAATATTTTATCCAGTCAAGAACACTAGAAAAAAAGGAAAGTACATATCAATATCCCTGATGAACACAGATGCAGAAATTCTCAACAAAGTCTTAGCAAACCAAATTTAATAATACATAAGAGGATCATATTCCATGATCAAATAGGGTTTATTCCAGGGAGGCAAGTGTAATTCAGCACATGCAAGTCAATCTATGTGACATCACATCAGCAAAATGAAGGCTACAAGCCATATGATCATCTCAATAGATACAGAAGAAGCATTTGACAACATTCAACACTCTCAATAAAACAGGCATAAAAGGTAGGTACCTCAACATATTAAAGGCCTAATATGACCCACAGCTAGCACCACCACCCTCAATGGTGAAAAACTGAAAGCTTTTGGTCTAAAATCAGAACTAAGACAAGTTGCCCACTCTCATCACAACTATTCGACAAAGTATTAGAAGTTCTAGTGAGCACAATTATACAAGTAAAAGAAATGAAGGCGCCCAAATAGGGAAGGAAGAAAACTGTCACTATTTGCAGATGAAATGGTTTTATTCATAGAAAACTCTAAAGACTCAGAAAAATCTACTAGAAATAAATGACACAGTGAAATTGCATGCTCCAAAATCAATATACAATAATTTGTGGTATATCTATACATAATGAAAGAGAAAGTAAGAAAACAATTCTTTGTAATTTCACTAAAGAGAATAAAATACCTAGAAATAAATTTAATCAATAGGGTAAAAAAAAAGACCTGTACACTGAAAACTATTAGACACTACTAAAAGAACTGAAGATACAACAAACGGAGAGAAGGTATTATGCTTAGTGAAGTCAGACAGGCAATTACCATACGAATGAAATCAAAGAAACAAAGCAAATGAAAACAGCTTTAGACTGTTAAGAACAAAATAGTGGTTACTGAGAGGAGAGAGGTGTGGGTGGATGGGGGAATGTGTCGGATCTTTTGCTCTTGGATGGATTAGGCTTTGCATATGCAGATGTTTTATGAGGCTAGACACTTGAACCCTTATGTTGTAAAGCAATGTTACTTCAATTTTTTTTAAAGGGGGGTTGGTAGTACTTAATGCCACTGAATTGTACACTTAAAGTGTTAATTGTACACTTAAATGGCCAATTTTAGGTTATGTGTGTTTTACAATTTCTTTCAAAAAATTTGGGGGACAGGAAGTTTTCTATGGGTGGATGTGGAAAAATTGGGGGAATGGATTATTAAATGGAATAAGAAGTGAGTTAAACTGCACAGACTGCTGCCATTTGTCATAAAAAATAGGTTAGAACAGTGCATTTGCTTGTCCATGGATGGATTATTTCTGGAGAAGTGCCCCTGTAACAATGGGGGACTCCTAGGCTGGGCTGGGGAGGCTCGGAGTCACAGTGAAAGGTTTTTTACTGAACTAACCTTAAAGCTTTCTGAAATATAAATTAAGTATAAATATTGCCTATTTTAAAAGTTGAAATGAAGACTGTACTAAGAAAAAGTACCCTATAATACCTCTATCATGTGAGTGTTTAGGAAGCTGGAAATTTCACTGTGTGTACCTGGGGTCCACCCAGGTCCTGCATCCCGGGGGTGGGGGGGCTTCAGGTGACACCCAGTCTTGCCCCCAGTGCAAGGAGGAAGCGGTGGGCACCTTAGATGCGATACAGGTGCTCACAGGTGTCAGCCAGCTCCTGCCCAAGTCCCGCGAGAATTACCTGAACCGCTGCATGGACCAGGAGCGACTGCGCAGGGAGAGCACCAACCAGAAGGAAATGGACAAGGTGGGTCCCCAGCCCTAGTGGGTCGGGTCAGTTTGCACGGGGCCTGGGGGGCTGCCCAATGGCATAGTGAAAACTTATCACAGCACAATGGTTGTCAAAACTGCATGTGGTCACCACACCCTGGGCACCCCAAGGAGTCTACCTGCCAGGTGATGGGACCCCATGGGAAGCACCTTGAGTGTCTCCTCCCCACGCTGTCTCCTCCTTGGGCCTCCTAGGCAGAAACTAAGACCAAGAAGGCAGCTGAGAGCCTGCGGCGCTCTGTGGAGAAGTACAACTCAGCTCGCGCTGACTTCGAACAGAAAATGCTAGACTCAGCTTTGGTAAGAACGGGGGCTTGTCTCTTGCAGACCTGCACCTTCCTGGGCTTAGGATGCTATGGGCTTGGGAAGTCCTGAAGCTTCCAGACCCTCAACTCCCAGGAAACTTAGAGTCACAGTCTTAAAGTAATCAGATCCTCGAGCCAATTGGCTATTATTACTGATTTTTTTTTTTTTTTTAAAGATTTATTTATTTATTTATTTATTTATTTATTTATTTATTTATTTATTTATTTATTTATACAAGCACTGGGTACAGTCAGAAGCACGGGAGGGTGAGAGAATTCACCAGAGCCAGAGCAGGGAGCAGAGCAGGCAGAAGGACTGAAGTACACTGCTGAGGGGAGCAGCGGGCGGCAGGAGAGGTCTGCGCGCCATGCGTGACCCTCCTCCGGTGGCCGGGGAGCAGCTGGGGATCAAACCGGCAGCACAGAGGCTGCGGGCAGCTTCGCAACCCAGCGCTCAACCGCTGCGCCACCGGGGAGGCCCTGTTTTTATTTTTTAAAAGTCAAATCATTTTTGTGCCTCAGTTTCCTCATCCATAAAATGGGGACAGTGATAACACCTGCCTCATAGAATTGTGAAGATTAAGTGAGTCACTATATGTAAAATTTTCAGACTAATACCAGGTGCTTAAAAACCACTCTTGGAGCTATTATTACTATTTCTATTATTACTGATGAGGGCTTTTGAAAGTAGGGCCTGTCTTATCCATGGGTCACATGTCTCACGACATTTCATGGTGGTTGAAAGACCTAAGTTGGGACCAAGGCCCCACCCCTCACCGCTATGTAATTTCTTTTCAAGACACTGCACCTCTCTGGGTCTCTGTCCATGCAAATGTATGACAATCTGAGTGAAATCTCAAGATTAGAAATCAGATTATTTTTAACTATAAGAAAGTGAAAATCAAAATCAACAAAAAACTATGAACCAGAGACACTCTCTGGGGGGTGGGGCATGGGGAGGGGAGGGATTGGGGTCAAAATAAGGGGGTTGCGGGCCTCCCCCGTGGCGCAGCAGTTGAGCACTGGGTTGCGAAGCTGCCCGCAGCATCTGCAGCTCTGGTTCGATCCCCGGCTGCTCCCCGGCCACTGGAGGAGGGTCCCACATGGCGCGCGGACCTCTCCTGCCGCCTGCTGCTCCCCTCGGCAGTGTACTTCGGTCCTTCTGCCTGCTCTGCTCCCCGCTCTGGCTCTGGTGAATTCTCTCACCCTCCCGTGCTTCTGACTATCCAGTGCTTGCATAAATAAATAAATAAATCTTTAAAAAAAAATAAATAAGGGGGTTGCAATTGTATGGGGAATATAAAAATAAAATTTATTAAAAAAAAAAGAAATCAGATTATTTTTCTGATTTTGCAGTTAGAAAGTTGCCTGTGATAGAAACCTCTGTTCAAGCTGACAAGGAGATTTATAGGCTCAGCAAACTGAAAATTTCAGAGCGGGCTTCAGGCATGACTGGATCCAGGTGTTCAAATGTGTTAGCAGGAAGTTGTGTCGCTATGCTTCTCTAGTCTGTTTTCCCCCAGGCACACATGCCCTCCTGAGGTGTGTATGTGAGTGTGTGCAGCAAAGTGGCTACCAGCAGCCCCATATGCATCCCACCAACTCTTTGACTCAGGACATGAAAGTATCTCTTCCCATAGTTCCAGCAAAAGTCACAAAACAGACTCTTTGGCTCTTTCCCCAACCAATCACTGAGGCTTGGGGTTGGAATGTTGTGATGGGTTGGATTGTTGTGATTGTTTAGGCTGGACCACATGGTCACTCCTACGACCTCCAACTCCCCTTGCCTTCCCCCCCTCCTCCTCAGCGCTTCCAAGCCATGGAGGAGACTCACCTGCGGCACATGAAGGCATTGCTGGGCTCCTATGCCCACTCAGTGGAGGATACCCATGTGCAGATTGGGCAGGTGAGTCAGACTAGGAGTGGGGAATGAGCCAGGGGGTGCTGGGCAAGAGGCCCTGGCCCTGTCCATTTACACACTCTCCCCACCTGAACCAGGTGCATGAGGAATTTAAGCAGAACATAGAGAACGTCACTGTGGAAATGCTGCTGAGGAAGTTTGCCGAGAGCAAAGGCACAGGCCGGGAAAAGCCTGGTGAGTTGGGGCTACTGGGAGGTTGGGCTTTGGGGCCATAGTTCCAGAGAAAGAACAGGATTCTAGGAGCAGGAGACTGGACTTCCCTGGAGAAAATGCGCTAATGAAAAGTCTAATTCTGCCACCCTCATTAAAGAGGGTTTGATGGCTGCTCTTGTGTGTAAATCTCCTACAACGTATACCAGAGGGGTCTTGAGTGTCAGGCTCAGCTGAATAGATTTTTGAGGACCCAAGCAAGCCACTGAAGGTTCTTGAGCAAAAGGCCAATTTGCAGGGTCAGGGAAGAGTTGAGAACAAAAGTATTGGGATCATATCTGGATTTGTAGTTTCATCATTTGCTGTGTGACCTTGGACATATCTCTTGACTTCTCTGAGCCTCAATTTTCTCAACTGTAAAGTAAGGACATTATCTCCACCCAATGCTATGACTATTGAGTATTTTGATGCAGGTAAAGGGCAAGGAGTGTGTCTGGCATATAGTAGACACTCAATAAATGCTGGTACACAGTTTATGTCCCCAAGTGTAGTGGATCACTAAGGTCTGTCTCTCTCCTGTCTCACTAATTCAAACCTCCCCTCTTTGTGTGGGCCCCCACTTTTGCTCTTCATTGTCCCAGATCTGTCATGCCCTGTTCCTGTTCACACACCCTCCATGGCTCCCCATCGTTCTTGGGAGAGAGTCCCAGCTCCTTATCCCGCTACTTAAGGCCCAGCCCAATGGGCCGACTCATCCCCAGACCCACCTGCATTCCACCCACGAATGTTGGGATTCATGTGGAAATCACCGAGGCTCTCCCCTCCCGTCCATCCCAAAGTGACACTGCCCAATTGGGACCAGAATCCTTGGCCCATTCCACTCATTTCCTCTTGAGGTTGGTTCAGCTTCTTTTTTTTTTTTTAAGTATAATTTTTTAAAATTTATTTATACAGACAAGAGCTAGGGTGTAGGCCAGAGGTGTGGGGGGCTGGGCGGTGAGAGGATTCACTAGGGACAGAGTAGGGAGCAGAACAGGAGCAGAACAGATTGACTGAAACACACTGCTGAGGGGAGCAGCAGGCGAGTCAGGAGAGGTCTGCTGCGCCATGTGGGTAGCTCCCTGGCAGGCTAGGGATTGAACTCGTGCTGCAGAGGCTGGCAATAGCTTGATAGTGCTGTCTTTAACCCCTGCACCACCAGGAAGGCCCCTGGTTCAGCTTTTAGCCTCTTGTCCTGGGCCCTGCCTTGAGCACAGATCCAGGTGCCCTTGGGTGGCCCAGGACATGCGCTCCCCTTCCCAGCGCCGGGCTCCTCTCCCAGCTGAGCTTCTCCATCTCTTCTGTCTCAGGGCCTTTGGACTTTGAGGCATACAGCGAGGCTGCCCTACAGGAAGGCAAGTACGTCTGGACCTGGATGCCCAGGCTGGACCGTGTGGACAAGGGAGGCAGATAGGAGTGGGAAGGGGGCACCCCCAGGACTTAACTGTCCCCCCCATCTGTCCTCAGCAATGAAACGTTTGCGGGGATCCAAGGCCTTTCGCCTCCCAGGACTGAACCGGCGTGAACGGGAGCCACCTGCAGCTGTGTGAGGAAACACCCCCACCCAGTCCTGACCTAAACTAATCTGGGGTGATTCCCTCTGCCCAGGCTAGCCCAGAAGTCCCCTGCTTGGAGCAACCCAGGAGTATTCCTGTTCTAGGCTAGCCTAGGAGTCCTGCTATCCAGGCTAGACCAGGAGTCCCTCTGTTAGTCCCCTCTGTTAGTCCCTCAGGTTAGCTCAGTATTACCACTACTCAGAGGAGTCCCGAATCCTACTTCTTGTTGAGGCTAGACCCGGGCTGCCTGCCCAGACTGCCCCCGAGTCCTGCCATTGTCAAGCCTAGCTCTGCTCCTTACCCCACTTAATCTAGCTGGGTAGCTTTGACTTGGCCAGAAGGAGCACAGGAATCTCCCTGCTCAAACCAGCACCACATCCTTCCTATGCCCACGTTCCCCTGCTAGCCCAGGGGTCTCCTCTTTTCCAAGGCCAGCCCTGGCATTCCCTGCATTCCCTGCTTTCTCAGGCCAACCCCTCAGACTAGCTCCAGGCTTCCTCCCCTCCAAGCTGTTTGAGAACACCTCCTGCTTGACTATTCCAGATCCACCAGCCCTCACCCCAAGTAAGCTGCAAGGTCCCACTGCCTGTAGGGCTATCCCAGCACATTGTCACAGGGGCCATGTCCAGCGTTGGGGTGGCAGGAAACAACTGAGTTGGGGAACTAACACCAATTTCTTTTTATCCATCCCCAGAGGTTCCCTGGAGCCCGATTCCGGGGTGAGTACCCTGGGAGGAGCCAGATCAGGTTGTAAGTAGGAGGGGTTCAGTCCTACCTTAGCCCCCAAAGCCCAGAGCTCTCAGGGCTGGAGGGGGTGCAGTGTAGGGGCCAGGTTCAAGTCCCATCTGGGATGCAAACTCCTGCGGACCGTGTGGGAGGGACTGATGTCCTACAAAGCCCTCCCCCTCAGGATGGGCAAGGGCACCTTCTGTTCCCAGAGAAACCTGCCCACACTCGGGGAACACAGTTTTTGCCATCGGGTTATTTTTAGGTCTGAGTGAGGGCCTGGAGGCGGGGATGGGGTGGGATGCAGCATGGCAGGCTGAAATGGAAGGTTCTGTTAGGGGGAGTCTGACACGCCTTTCCCCCCAGACATGTCCAGAAGTGGATGAAGAAGGTTTCACTGTCCGGCCTGATGTGACCCAAAGCAATATCCTCCCATCTGCCCCTGGAGGCCAGTTGTTAGCACAAGGACAACTCTCTGTGCACCCCGGTGGGGCCTCCAGTGTGGTGGAAACAGATTCACAGGCAGGCAGCTGTCCAGTGCAGTCAGGGATGGTCAAGAGAGAGAGGGAGGCTTAGTTACCCAGAGGAGGGTTGAGGAGGGGGCAGGTTTAGCAGCAACATAGTTTGCTTGTTAGGGGAGGGCATGCTTGTACAAAGCTTGTAGAGTGGAGGGAAGCAGGGAGGGCAAAACATGGTGTCAGAGTCACCATCGTGAGAGATGGCATTGTGCTCAAGAGGCTTTGACAGGAAGGGGTGACAGGAAGGGGTCAGGGTGAGGGCACTGGGAAGAGACCCCATGTCGGGATCAGCTTGGCCCCTTGACTACAGTGCACGCACAGCTGAGCCTTCCCGCTTCTCATCCAGCGACTCAGACTTCGATGACGAGGAGCCCCGCAAGTTCTACGTGCACATCAAGCCTGCCCCCGCCCGAGCCCCAGCCTGCAGCTCTGAGGCTGCCGCTGAGCAGCTCAGGGCTACAGCTGGCAGCCTCATCCTTCCTCCCGGCCCAGGGGTGAGGTGTGGGAAGGGTGCTCCTGGTAGGGCTGGTGGGGTTGGCTGCATGGTCTTCGCTGATACCACCCACTTGGTCCACAGGGCACCATGAAACGTCACTCTTCACGTGAGTAGCCTGTTTGGGAGGGGGGGTTTCCAGTTTGGGGAGGAGCCTTTTGGAGGGAAGCCTGGGCCTGGATGTGGGCATGGGCTAAGAGCTCAGTTCTGCTGTGTGACTTCGGGCAGATTGCTTACCCACTCTGACCCTCAGTTTCCTCTTCTGTACAATGCGGTTGGTGTGAGAATTAAATGAGAGCTGAAAGGGGTAGCTGGTGCCTAAAAGAAGCCAAGACCTAGAGACAGGTTGACTCAGGTTTGATCCCTCTCTGCCTAGTTTGCTAGGGACCTTAGGGGACCTTAGCAGCTGACTGGATGACCCTGAGCCTTGGTCTCCTAGTCCGTGGAGTAGGAACAGTAGGAACTGGAAACAGTAGGGCAATAGGAAGGCTATATCCATCCACCATTAGCAGCCCTCTCTGTGCATACCCTGGGGGTATATGAGGCTTCCAGTGTGGATGAAGCAGTTCCAAATGTAGATGCCAGTCCTGTAGGGTCAGGGCTGGTCAAAGGGGGTGGTACTGGGTTACCCCAGAGCGGGAGTCAGGAGGGCTTCCTAGAGGAAGGAGCCAGTGTTGGGGTTTAGGTGTTTGCTAGTTAGGGGAGGGTGGGCTTAAGCAAAGGTTTGGATTCATCTCTTGTAGGGGATGTTGCTGGGAAACCACAGAGGCCTCGCTCTGCCCCAAGGGCCAGCAGGTGGGTTCCGCATTGGGTCGACATGAGTGGTCAGCTGGGAGCCTTCCCCACTTCTCCCATCCTCCTCCCCTGCTGCCTCTCCATGTGTCTCTTCCTCTGCTTCTCTCCCCATGGCAGGGAGTTTAGGGTATTCCATTTTTGAGGGGCCCCTGACTCTCTTGATGAGCACTTGCTGTGCTGTTTTGGGCCCTAGGGATTTATGACTGAGTCAGTTCCCGCTTCTCGGTTACATCAAGTGGCTCAGATTTTAAGAATAGCAAGTGGGTCTGAGCATTTTCAACACTTCTAGGTGCTGTGATGGGGATAGAAGTGGGCAGCTTTAGCAGATGCTGAAGGGCCTCCTCAGGGGACTTTGATCTGAAGCCTGAGAAGAGGTGGGAGGTGGCTGCAGGGAGAACTGGGCAAGGAGCTCAAGACCAAGAGCCACAGGTGCAAAGGCCCTGAGGAGTGGCGCGTGTGGAAACCAGAAAAGCCCCTCTCTTCTGTCCGCTTCCCTCAGCTGTACGGAGAAGGCTCAGTCCGATGAGCAGTTTTCCAAGAACCTCTTTGGGCCACCCCTAGAATCCGCCTTTGACCACGAAGACTTTACAGGTGCCGGGGGAGGGGCTGCACGCTCCTGGGAGGGTCCAGCAGGGGGATGTGTGGGGCCCTGGCAAGGGTAGCTAACTCCTGCTGGTTGGCTGAAGGGTGGGCTCAGCTGGAGGGAGGTTGTGACGGTCATTTGTGGGTCAGTGTGTGTGTGCTGGCGGCAAGGGGGAGCCAGATCGATGAGGTGGGTGGAGCCACGGTGCCAGTGATGGGACCTGCCAGTGGGGCCTGTGTGGCAGTAGGTAGGTAGACGGGGCATCAGTGGGTTTTTTCCTCCTCCCCCAGGCTCCAGTAGCCTGGGCTTCACCTCCAGCCCTTCGCCTTTCTCTTCCTCGTCTCCTGAGAATGTGGAGGACTCCGGCCTGGACTCACCCTCCCACGCAGCACCTGGCCCCTCCCCAGATTCCTGGGTCCCCCGCCCAGGCACTCCACAGAGCCCGCCTGGTTGTAGGGCACTGCCCCCTGAGTCGAGGGGCACACGTCCCCTGCCGCCATCAGACTCGCCACAGTCCTTCACATTGGCCCCTGGCCCCTGGGGGCTGGAGGCTGTGACTGGAGGAGGTGAGTCCAGCAGGCCGGGGGAAGCGAGGGGGAGGACCGCACACCTGCTGTGGTCAGGGTGCTGAGGACGCAGCTGGAGCTGAGGCCAGGGAGACCCCCACCCTTGCAGAGACAATAATGAGAGGATATGTAACAAGGAAGGAAGTGGCACCTCCTGGTGAGGGCTCAGAGGGTGGGTGCCCCTGCCAGTGGCTGAGCGGATGTGAAGACTAATGCTATGGGCATGGGAGGAAGACACAAGAGCAAAGGCGTTTCTGGCAGAGGGCACAGCCTGTGCAAAGGCCCTGGGGTAAAAGTAGACTAGGCCCTTTGAGGGGCTGCGAGGAGGCTGCTGTGGCTGGAATAAGGATGTGAAACAGTCCCAGGAAGGGATATGAATGTGACCGCTAGCAAGATGGGAGTCACAGGAGGGTGCCATGTGAGCAGAGGAGGGGCGGGACCTGACTGGGGAGCCAGGCTCCCTCTGATTATTTGGGCATTGAAGACAGAGATAAAGACCAAGAAGGTGAGTCCAAGTAAGTGATGATGGCAGGATTAGGCCACAGACTTGGGGGTCAGAGGACAGAGGAGCCAGGGCTGACAGGGGCTGGAAGGAAGCAGAGGAGGCAGAGGGGCAGTGGGGTTGGGGAGGAAGAAGCTGGGCCGGGGGCATGTGGAGGCTGGACCTTTACATGGCAGGTAGGTGGTGGACCTGGCCCAGGAGGTTGCAAGGAAAGAGAGAAGGGAGGGGCGGGGAGAGGGCCCAGGGCTGGTCTGGGGTGGAGTTGGAGAGTGACAGGGGAGGCGAGCCAAACCAGTAGTTGGACTCCTGGGGACCTGAGCCAGAGGACCTGTGGGCTGTGGCCACACAAGTTCCCCAAAAGAGAAAGACCTTGTTGGAGTTAGTTCACGGGAGGGCTGAGGGGAGTGTGCAGGCCATGAGTGTAAATGAGTAGAACAGAGATTCTCACCCAGGGCAATTCTGCGTGCACACACACCCCTGGGAGACACTTGGCAGTGTCACTACTGATCCTTGATTCTCACCACTGGGGGTGAGGGAGAGGGGGGTTGCTACTGGCGACTGGTGGGTCTAGACTAGCGTGCGGATCAGCACCCTGCAGTGTACAGGATGGTCTCACCACAGAATGATCCAGCCCCAGATGTCAGCAGTGCCAGGGCTGCGAAACCCTGGGATAGAGAGCGGCACCACTGGGGTGTGGGTGGGAGGGGAGGTGGAAGAGCAAGTGATTGTAGATGGGGCAGAGCAGGAGGCAGGAAATCCAGGGAAATCTGAGTGTTACGCTGTGACTATTAGATTAGAAGAAGGGAAACTCAGATATATGCCAGGGTAAGGGACTCCGCTCATCCTCTCAGAGAGGATCAAAGTGGTGGAATTGCCAAATTTCTCACCCGCATTGAAGGGCTGTCGGATTAAAGTCCCCTGCCAGATCCCCCCATGGTATGGCTGCCTCCTAAGCCTGCAGCCCTCTCTCGCATACCCCCACTGACGGGGAGCTCACTGCTTCTGGGCCAGAGTCAGGTTTCTGGGAGGCTCGGGGTAGTAGGTGGCATCGCAGTCCTGTCCAGCACCTTGAGTGCAGCCGAGGACTTCAGACCATCGGGGGTCTCCCCCAAGCAGGCCTGACTCCCAGGTGAGGGCCAAGTTCCAGCCCCTGGGGCAGCGTGGGAGGCCCCATGCCACATCTCTTCTGCTTACTCGCAGACCTGACGCCTGTACCTGCTGAGCCAATATCCAGGGAGGGCCTGGCCGCCCCACCGCAAAGACACCGATCCAGAAAGGTGTCCTGCCCCCTCACACGCAGCAACGGGGACCTGGTAGGATAAGGGGGCATGGCAGGGGCGGGGCTGGGGCCTGCTTCAGTTCATCCTCAGGGCACTGCTCCTGGGGGTGTTCACAACCCACCTTGTGTCCTTCAATTCCAGTCTCGTTCCCTGAGTCCCTCCCCACTGGGTTCTTCAGCCCCCAGCATGGCCCCAGAACGGCCCAACTTCCCATCCCAGACAGGGCATGGTATGTGGGGTGCCTTCTTTGGTCTGGGTGGGTAGCTAAGTGATATGGTAGAGACCCTGTTGGCAGAGGGTGGGTTCTGAAACCTGTGCCCACCCTCTCTGCCCCCCACTCCCTCCCGTTCCACTCCCAGGAGTCTCCCGGGGCCCAAGTCCTGTTGTCCTAGGCTCTCAAGATGCTCTGCCTGTGGCCATCGCCTTCACAGAGTATGTCCACGCCTACTTCCGGGGCCACAGTACCAGGTATGTGGTGATGTGGAGCAGTACAGACAGTGATGGGGTTCAGGGCTCCCAGGGAGGCTGCATATAACCTGCTTGGCTGTGGAAAAGCGTTGAACATTGAGCTAAGCAACCAGGCCCCTCTCCCGGGGTAGTGAGACCATGAGGGTGTTTGCGTAGTGGGAGGCATTGTGGTCACAGTTTAGAGGAACCTCTGAGGTTGCTATGGGCACGGAAGTAGAAGGAATGAGACCAGAGGCCAGCCCCAGGGAGGAGGTAGGTGACAAGTTAGGGGTAGCTTGAGGGGTCAGGTATAATCTGGCGACAGACCCATCCAAAAAGTCCTTTTTTTCCCCAAAAAGATGTATGTATTTATGCATACAAGAACTAGGGTACAGGCCAGAGGTGTGGGGGTGAGAGGATTCACCAGAGACAGTTAGGAGCAGATCAGGCAGATTTACTGAAATACACTGCTGAGGGGAGCAGCGGGCGAGATAGGAGAGGTCTGCTGCGCCATGTGGGTAGCTCCCGGGTGGGGATCGAACTCATGCTGCAGAGGCTGCGCATAGCGTCATAGTGCTGAGACTTAACCCCTGAGCGCCACCAGGGAGGCCCCCATCCAAAAAGTTCTTAAAAATCAAATCACAAAGATAAGGCCAGTTGGACACCCTCGATGTTGTTTGTGCCCCATCCCTGCCCACTTGCCAGCAGTAGGGGGCAGAAGCGAGTATTATACCTGAAACCCATGCTGAAGCCAATTATTAAACTGAATGCTTTGCTTTGAGCTTCCTGGTGGCCCGCAGGAAGAAGAGAACCAGGGACAGGAGTGTTCCTATACTCCTCAGCCCTGTGTGGATTCTTCCTGCTTCTTGCTTTGCTGTCCAGGCAGGGATGCCAGGGGAGGAGATGGGAAGTGAAGATGTGGGGTATGGTCAAGGCCCTACATTTCTGAGGGAACTAGGGAGCCACAGGATTCAAGGAAGAGGAAGAGGGGAAGAGGGGAAGATGAGGTGCCAGGCAGAGCCCTGAGCCAGAGTCCAGAGTCTCTCCCCCCCACCTTCCATCCCAGCTGCCTGGCTCGAGTAACTGGGGAGCTGACCATGACCTTCCCTGCTGGCATCGTGAGGGTGTTCAGTGGGACCCCACCCCCACCTGTCCTCAGCTTCCGCCTGGTGCACACAGCCCCCATCGAGCACTTCCAGCCCAATGCTGACTTGCTCTTCAGGTACTGTGGGAGGAAGCGGGGCCAGGGCAGGGGGGCCCAGACGCTGGTGGAAGCCAGGGTTTCCCTACCTCTGAATACCTGCTCTGCCTTCAGAGATCTGCTGTGTGACCCCGGGCAAGTGTCTCTCCCTCCCTGAACCTCACTTCTTCTCCCTCCTTTGCTCCCTACCCTTTGTCCCCCCGAGGGTCATGTTTTTGCTGGGCCAAGATGAGCTGGGAATCTGAATCTTTAGGAAACCATTGGGGTAGGTGGGATGCTGGGGACCCTGGGATGGCATCTCCTGAGGGCGGGGTGATCATTCCTGGTCTCTGCAGTGACCCCTCCCAGAGTGACCCTGAGACCAAAGACTTCTGGCTCAACATGGCAGCTCTGACCGAGGCCCTGCAACGCCAGGCAGAGCAGAACCCAGCTGCCTCCTATTACAACCTCGTGCTGCTCCGATACCAGGTGGGTCTCGAGGATGAGCAGTGAATAAGTGGAGGGGGCTGGAGGGGAGACAAGCCTCCCATAGTGTCCATGGCACCTTTTTGAAAATTAGAAGAGCCCCTTCCCTAGGACCCTGCCAGACACCTGGCCAGGCAACAACTAATAGGTCTGCAGTCTAACAGGTGACTTTGCTAGTATGAGGTACTCTCCTGACCTCTGCTGGGAAGCTAATGTAATACCAACTCTGATCTCCAAAGTCTCCCAGGAATCCGGTGCTTTGTGCAGTAGTGCAGTCTCGTTGGTTGAAAGGTAGCATCAAGGTGGTTGAGTGCCCAGAGTGGCAGCACAGCCCAACCCAAGTTGTGTCCCTTCTCTGGTTCTTCCTAGTTCTCCCGCCCAGGTCCGCAGTCGGTGCCCCTGCAGCTGACCGCCCACTGGCATTGTGGGGCGACGCTCACTCAGGTCTCAGTGGAGTACAGCTACCGGCCTGGTGCGACAGCCGTGCCCACGCCGCTCACCAATGTCCAGATCCTGCTGCCGGTGGGAGAGCCTGTGACCAACGTCCGCCTGCAGCCAGCTGCCACCTGGTGAGGGTTTGTGCCAAGGGCGCCTCAACAGTGCCCCCAGAACTGCTCCCCCCAGGCCTCACCTTGATGCAGCAACTCAAGGGTCTGTCCTGGGGCTCACTTTGAAGGGTAACATTGTTAACATCCAGAAAGGAGCATTTCCTGCCTGTCAGGCATGTTCCCTGTGCTCTGCGCAGGCTGACTGGCTTGGGGCTCAGTCTAGGTTAGGCTGCTATCCTCCCCATCATGGGAGGGGTACTGGGGAATTGGGAGGTTAGGTTTCTTTTTTTTTTTTTTTTTAAAGATCTATCCATTCATGCATACAAGAGCTGGGGTACAGGCCAGAGGTGTGGGAGGTGAGAGGATTCACCAGAGACAGAGTTGGGAACAGAACAAGCAGATTGACTTAAATACACTGCTGAGGGGAGCAGCAGGAGAGCCAGGAGAGGTCTGCTGTGCCATGTGGGTAGCTCCCTGGCTGGGGATTGAACTCGCGCTGCAGCGGCTACGGACAGCTTTATAGGTTGCGTCTCAACCCCCTGAGTCAACAGGGAGGCCCGAGGTTAGGTTTCTTATTGGAGCTCACAGCAGGATTTGAACCCAGGTGCCATTTCTTAGCCCTGGGGCTTTTAGTCACTAAGCCGTGTTCCCATTTTTTTTGTACAAACAACCTGCCCCAGAGAAGCCACATTTATCTAAAAATGATTCAAAGTGATGGGGCCCTCAGGAACCAGCTACTCCATACCCTACCTCTATTTCACATCTGGGGAAACTGAGGCAAGGAAGGGGACCTGGTTTCTGGGGTCATGTAACTGAGAGGCAACTGTGCTGGGACCCTGGGCTTCCAGTGTCCTGTGAGGGGGAGACCTGACTGAGCCTCTGTTGATACCAGGAACTTGGAGGAGAAGCGGCTCCTCTGGAAACTTCCAGATGTGTCAGAAGCAGGGGGTGAGTATGGTTGTACAAGAGGGCTTGGGGGATCTGGTGGGAGAATTGGGGTTGTGGGAGAGGGGGGAGAATTGTGGGCATTGAGGAATACTTGAAAGGGCAAAGCTGGAAGAGAGGGCACCCCTAGGATAGACAAGGCAGGTATACCCACGCCTGTGAAAACCATACACAGCCCTGCAGGGCCAAAGGAGAGTGGGCAGGGGGTACAAGAGAGTCAGAGGGGCACAGATCACAGGGGTTGGCAGGGCTGGCCTAGCTCACAGCAGGATGGGCCAGGGGTAGAGCACAGCTGACCTCAGGCCTCCCCAGGATCCGGCCGTCTGTCCGCCAGCTGGGAGCCATGCTCGGGGCCCAGCACACCCAGCCCTGTGGCTGCCCAGTTCACCAGCGAGGGGACCACTCTGTCAGGGGTGGAATTGGAACTGGTGGGCAGTGGCTACCGCATGTCGCTGGTAAAGAGGAGATTCGCCACAGGTACTCCCAACCCTGCCTCTGAGCACCCTGAGACCATGTTGAGTCCTGAGCCACCCTCTGCTTCTGTCAGGGTGCAGGGGTGGGGGAAGGCATTTGGGGTGTTTGGGAAGGATAAGTGGGTGTTGGGGCCTGGAGACCCAGGGTGGAGAGGGGCGGTTAGGGTCGTGTGGGAGGGGTCAAGAAGAGGCATGTGCCTGGGGTGTGCTCTAGATGGTATCCTTTCAAGGACCCAAGACAGGGAGCAGGATCCCCACTGCTGCACCATCCCCCCACTCCCATTCCATTTTCCTCCCTCAGGAGGGGCTACTAGGGCAGTGGGAACAGCGATTTATGGGGTGGTTTGAAGAGAATTGCGGGATCCCAGGTTAGGGGCATAGTCCCCCTTCCCTCCTGCGCCCTCACAGCCTCCCTCCACAGGGATGTACCTGGTAAGCTGCTAGGCCCACAGAGCCCGCCTGCTGCTGACCCCAGCCCAGCACTGCCCTCTGCTGTGCTCCGGGGTTCCCCTCCCCCACCTCCCCAGAGCCTCTGAGTCCCTGGAGAGGAGCCCCACGCCCAGCCTGACTGAGCCTACGAGTGTCACTCCTCCATACGCCAACTCCCCCACACGTCCTTGGCCTTTTAATGTCCTTTGAATAAACACTTTATTTTCTAATAAAATTTTAAAAGAGCCTTTTTCTGCTCCAGGAAGTTTTCTTCACTTCACCAGAGAGAAGTGGTTAAGTGGGGAGGATCTAATATTTCTAATGTTACCCTTCTTCGCCAGGTCTGGCCTGTGCAGGGTGATGGGCAGGTGGTGGGGAGGAAAAAGGCAGATATGGACATCGCCCTCTGGGCTGATGGGAGGGACAAGTCCTGGAGGAACCTAGATGGGGATGTCAGGAAGACTTCCTAAGGAAGGGGCATTATAAATGAGGCTTTGAGTTATGAATAAGAGTTTGCACAACGGGCCATGCATCCTAGGCAGAGAGATGGTGAGTTCTGAATTCCATGAGAAAGCAGTTAGTTAATCCATGAACATAATCCTACTATATGCAGGAAGTAGGGACACAGCTATGAGCAGGACAAAGCTCTTGGATGCAGGTCTCAGTACCAGCAGGCAAGAGGGTTTGAATGGGGCCAGCAGAGGTGTGGTAACAGCAGACTGTGGCTGAGCTCAGTCCTTGGTCCAATCCTTGGACAATTGTTGGTCCCAGTGGATGTGTGGGGACCTCGGGTGCCTGACCCTGAGGCCATGCTGATGCCAGGGACCACGCAGGGGCCAGATGAAACTCAGGAAGCAGGAAGCAAGATTTGACCAAGATCTGCCTTGTGCTCTCTCTAATCCTTCCACCCTGTCTCCAAAAAAAAAGAAGGGGTCTGTCCCAGCTTCACTTTTCTTGTCTATAAAATGGTTGTGGGGTGGAGAAGAAAGTCCTCTCCCTGCAGGCGGCTCAGAGAGCTTCCTCAGCTCAGAGCAAGCACACAGTCCACATCGCCTGCAGGAAGAGCCATTACAGGAGTGGCTGCATCAAATAGGGGCACTTGAGGCTCTGGTAGTCCAGTGTAAATGGTTTCCTGCACCAAACATTGTGCTAGGTGAGACAGGCCCTCTTTCAGGCATTCTTTTCCCAGGTGCAAGTTCAGAGCCCACCCTTGCTCTGTCAGCCCGTGTGGTTCCCTGAGTTCAAGGGCCCCATATAGGAGCCAGAGTCAAATGCCTGATCCTAGGAGAGTGTCCCCTACATGCCAAGTCTTTGCATATTAAGTAACTTTCCAGTTGGTGAGTGACCTAGTTAGTTACTCAATTGAGGTAAAATTCAAATAACAGAAAATTAGCCACTTAAAGTGAACAATTCAGTGGCAACAATCATAATGTTGTGCAACTGCCACCTCTATTTAGTTCGAGAACATTCTATCACCCCACAGGAAATCTATGCCCATGAGGGATTGCTCCCCTCCCCCAGCCCCTAACAACCCACTAGTCTGCCTTATGTCTGGATTTGCCAGTTCTGGATGTTTCAATGAATGGATTACACACTACGTGGCCTTTTGTATCTGGTCTCTCACTCAGCATGTTTTGAGGTTCATCCACCTTATGGCGTGTGTCAGGGCTTCACTTCTTTTCATAGCTGAGTGATACGCCCGTGTGTGGACGCATCACATCTTTTGCCCATTCATCCTTTTGATGGACTTCTGGGTTGTGTCCACTTCTTGAAAACAGGGCCGCTGTGAACATGGATGTACAAGGATTTGTTTGAACACATTTAGGACCTTTTGGGTCTGTAATTCCTGCTGGGTCATATGTTTGCATCCCTGCTGGGTCATTTTCATACCTAGCCTCCTGGAATTTTTTGGAGCCACTTGGAGAAGGGGGGTGGGGGCTGTGTTCTATGTGCCTTAAACATCCACTGATCAGCCCCCCAGCTCGCCCCCAGCTCACTTCCTTTCACAGTTTACTGAGCGGATAGGGCAGATGGGAGGAAAGAAGCCAGCCAGAGCATTTGATCTGGGCTTCTTTTATGGCCCCCACAACTCAGGAAACTCGCGGCTACCACACAGACAAGCGAGAACTTGAACTTAAACCGAGGAGCTGATGCACCTCAATAGAGAGACTCTGCCTTTATGGACTTCAAAGTTCTAATGATAAGGCAGCCAGAGGTGCGCCCCACAGTGCTGCCATCTGAAGGTCTCCCATTGGATGTCGTGACCTTTGAAGAAATCACTTGCCCTGAGGGGCACCTGTAAGAACACATAAAACTTACAAGTAAAACTGAAAATATTAAGGTGCCTGCGAGCACTATGAGTGAAAGTAGCTGAGGCCACATACTGCGTGTTAAAGACTGATAAAGCAGATGGTGCCTGACCCTAAGCCTGATAAGGTATAAAAGGAGCAGCTACCTAAAGCAGACTCAGAGCAGTCCTAAAAACTGGCTCGGAGCAAAAGTCTCGCTGGAGGCTACTCTTGGGGAGTCCAGCTCGCTGCCTCCCTTTGGACTCACACTCGCTCTTCAGCCCAAACCTCTCCTCGCTCCTTGGCGTCGCTCCTCTCTGGCTCCCCGGGTTCGGCACACCGCGCACCAACCTGCACTCCCCGGCTCTGCTCCCCCGACCCTGCCGCCTGCTCCCCCGACCCTGCGGCCTGCTCCCACACAGCAGCACAAGCGGCCTACCAGCTCCGCACCCCGCGCGCCCATCCGCACTGCACTGCGGGCCCTCGAGCCGAGACTTCCACGGCCTGCGGACCTCCACCTAGGTGGAAGGCCCGGCCAAGACACATCGCGGCTGCTGTCTGCAGGCAAGGGTACTAGGGAACTTGGGGTTGGCTTGCCTGTGTGAACTTAAGTGCTGCGTGACCAATATACGAATAAAATTCTCCTCGAGAGCCAACTTCTGCCTGAAGTTTACCTATCACGTTCGCGACACACCTGACCACAGGGGCCTTAGTTGCTCCGTTGTAGAGGAGGAAACTGAGGCACAGCCAGGACCGGCCCCGCCTTCCTCGGGAGGAAAGAAGGACGGGCGGAGCCCAGCTCCGAAACGCCAAAGTGTCAAGAAACTCAGATGCAGCCCGGGGCTGTCGGGTTTCAAATCCTCACTAACCCCAAGAGTCTTCGAATCCAACTTTAGACTTCCAGCTTCCAGAACCTTTCCGGATGCCCCGGGCACAAGCCGGGTTTGGAATTGTTATAGGACAGGGAGAGGGGCAGCCCAAGCCCCACAAACCTGCCTATTCTACATGGGTTCTGCCATCCGCCGCATCAACACAAAACATAGGAGACTTTAATGGGAAGGAACTTTAATTAAACTAGGAAACAACACAGGTAAGGCAAAGAGTCTAGTTTCTAAATGAAGCACCCAAAGTTACCCGTCCCCTCGTGGGTAAAAGTCCATCCATATGGGATTGGCCCAGAACAAGGCCCCAAAGCCTGCCACAAGTCTAAAGCATCTTCCAGTGGGGACCCACAGCAAAGGGTCACAAACAACCGGACAAGCCCGGAAGGAAAAGAGCAAAATCAACATCAAGATAAAAGCTGCCATTGTCACCTCCCCACGGGTCTCACCCACATCTGTGTCACCTAGTCCACGACCAAAAGACAAGCGCAGTTTCTTCACGTGTCTCTAGGCTCCATGTGCCTCCTCCAGGTCTCCTGGCTCCATCCTGCTCCTTCCTTCCTCAGTCTCTTCTTCAGCTTCTCCTATTCCTGCTCAGCTCCACCCTCCCTTGGGTGGTGCAGGGAACCTCCCCCTTTCCTGGGGACCACCCTGTTACAATCCCCCCTTTTAATTTTTATTCCACCATATCTATGGTGGCACAAATCTCAGGGTGTAGTCTTAGGAGACAGTCTTTTTTTAGGGTTACAATATGTGTAAGAGAAGCAACAATTAGTCAGCAGCATTGTCTATGAATATCCAGTATGACAGTTTTCCATTCTGAAAAATAGTTCATTATACCAGCCAAAAGAAAAAAAAAAATTTGGAGCATTGGCTAAAACAAGATAACAAATATATCAAATTAGCAAATCGACATATGAAACAAACACACCGGAGAAACCAAAAATCACATTTGCGCTTATGGTAGTCAGTGCCATAGGGAAGCCCAATTTCCCCATGGGGCTGACTAACCACGGATGGCTCTGTCCTAAATCTTCGTGGTCGCCAAATCTGTTATAGGACAGGGAGAGGGGCAGCCCAAGCCCCACAACCTGCCTATTCTACATGGGTTCTGCCATCCGCCGCATCAACACAAAACATAGGAGACTTTAATGGGAAGGAACTTTAATTAAACTAGGAAACAACACAGGTAAGGCAAAGAGTCTAGTTTCTAAATGAAGCACCCAAAGTTACCCGTCCCCTCGTGGGTAAAAGTCCATCCATATGGGATTGGCCCAGAACAAGGCCCCAAAGCCTGCCACAAGTCTAAAGCATCTTCCAGTGGGGACCCACAGCAAAGGGTCACAAACAACCGGACAAGCCCGGAAGGAAAAGAGCAAAATCAACATCAAGATAAAAGCTGCCATTGTCACCTCCCCACGGGTCTCACCCACATCTGTGTCACCTAGTCCACGACCAAAAGACAAGCGCAATTTCTTCACGTGTCTCTAGGCTCCATGTGCCTCCTCCAGGTCTCCTGGCTCCATCCTGCTCCTTCCTTCCTCAGTCTCTTCTTCAGCTTCTCCTATTCCTGCTCAGCTCCACCCTCCCTTGGGTGGGGCAGGGAACCTCCCCCTTTCCTGGGGACCACCCTGTTACAGAATCTTTGAACGCCCTGCAAAAAACCCGAGAGCCACTGGTCACCCTGCCTCCTTGCGTCTTCCTCACTAGCTGGGCCAGCACTGCCAGGGGCCCGGGCCGGGGGCTGAGGAGGCGCTCCTTGCACGTCTCCAGCCGCGGAGGAGCTCGCCCAGCAGCAGGCGGGACCTCGGTAGGGTCTAGAGGCCGGGAGGACGGCTGCAGGGGCGCTGCCCCGGCCGTAGGGGAAGGGGGCGGGGCCGGCAGGGGCCCTTAGC